AACTGCAGTACACGATACCAGTCGTGAGATCATGATATCCGCGGTTCATTTGATTGTGTAACTGACAGCACGTGCGTTGTGATCGTTGTCCATTGTAAGGCTATAATCATTTGAAAGATGTGTTGTTGGCAAGCGCATGAGCAGTGAACTTTAGTGGCATAATTTGTTTTATTAAAATGTTTGTTCGTGCTTGAAGTAAAGTTTAGTATAACATTTAATTAAAGTCAATAACAACAAGTTCAATGGAAGTACAAAGTTAGGGAAAACTGATATTGCGATAATCATCATATTGTGAGTTTAAATATTGCACCGTACCGTGGAATCCATATCTGTTTTAGGTTTAAATCACTTGGTAAATAGTGTTATGCCAGAAATGCTTGCCATTAATGAAAAAACATTATTTATGTATTTAGTATAAGGCCCCGTGGTGGAAAGTGCAGTTTCCAACTAATATTCGACATGTATGTCTGGACCGCTCTATTTATGTGCTATGAAGGGCCATTCCCCGAAACGTCGGCTATTATATATTTGTTTTCCTTGTAAGGCCACACACACACAGTGTTATTGACGATTGTGTTAAGTTTTTGTTGTTTTTATTATTTGCGCAACTACGATAAAAGAGGTCATTGCCCGAAACGTCGCTTGCTATTTCCTTTCCCACTTTTAAGGCAACAACGAACGGTGTTGTATCGATGAATGTGTCGTGGTTTTTAAATCCTTTATATTAAGTTCGCTTGCGTGCTTGCTTGCTTGCTTACGACCGTGCAAACCTTTCGGTCGTTTTTTAACCCACTTCCCGTGATCCAATCGAGCTGACATTTTCCACACATACTCGTTGTGCGTGACAATTAATGTTTGTGAAAAAATTTTCCAAAATTTTACACGTTTTAGGGATTTTTTTTAAAATATTTAATTACCAATTGCTTAATGGTGGCAGGCAATCATCTGACCCATAGGTGGCAGCCATCTCAAGCCAGAGGACGAGAGGACTCTAGCCAGCCACGCATATAAAGGATTTATAGTGAAAAACTTTGTTTTTACGGGTTAATTTTTTTGAAGTCTTTATCGACGCGTCAGCGTGGGACGCGCTATTAATAGAGCCGTCGAGAGCACGCCCCGTGACGGTTACAACAACACGTGGGCGGGCACGCGGTCACCCCCTCCCCTTCCCTCCCCCACGTGCGTGACGTCGGGCGCACGAGCCAATCAGAAGCGCGGATTTAGCCCTTTAAACAAGGGGGGCGGAGTCGTCGGTGTGCGTTTGAAACGTTGCTCGCTTTGGAACTACTTTTAAAAATAATGACGGCGTGCCTAAAAAAAAATACCTGACCCCCCCCGCCGCCGCACCCCTAGCATCGTTTGCATTCGAGCGCACGTCGCATATCGATTATATCTGGCAGCGGCGTGCTTTCGATGTTGGTATCCGTGCAAAAAAAATATAAACCGGTGAGTTGCGCTGTTTGAACGCGCGCGCACTACTTTCGATGCGCGCGAGGATACGCTCGGAGGCGGGTGGGTGTGCGCGGCGGAGGGGGTTGGGGCGGTTACCCCGTGGAAGGCGCAGCGCGGTTTTAGATTTTCCACAGTGACGTCACGCAGCGGCCATATTGCTAAAGGAGAGAAGCCCCCCTCACCCATCCACTTCTCACAGGGAATCCTGCCGTGACGTCACAAAGGACATCTTGCCAGAGGACACTTGAATTTTGAATGCCAGCCACCGAAAAAAATATACAATTTGAACACATTAATTTGTGATGCTGCTGCGTTGGCAGTGGACCACAAGCACAATTATATATATATATTTTTTAAAACAGCTCAACCATACCTGGCAACTCCCTATCAGTGCCTGTCTTATTACAGACCAATTCAGACATTATTGATCACCCCGTGTCTTTATAAATCTCAATGTTTATCCTACAAAGTCCCATCAGAAGAGAGAAACAAAAACAAATAGACAAAGCAAATTGCCCGTATTGAAACGGCGGTACGCCATATGGACCTGAAAACTAATTTTGAGTATTTTGAATGCCACTAAGTACTCAGATTATATCAATGCTGTGGATTTGCTCTCCAACACGCCGGTGTGCTGTACTAGTATTCTTAGGTTTTTTCGGTAAAGTCACGTAGAAAAATGTGAATCCTTGCAGTCATCCTTGCAGTCACGAAAGCTTCAAATCTGCTGTACTAGTGTTGAGTAGTAGATTGATGACGGGTTGTCACACTCGCCTCGGGAGGAGTGACGTCATGGCCCCTAGGGGTATTTAAGGAGGGACCGGGACGGGGAATATGAGCGGTGAGCGGTGGGGAGGTGGAGACTCAGGGTAAGAGAGACATAGCACCAGGCTAGGGGGGGCTACTTTACCCGGCTGGCCGAGTTGTATGAATCGTCGGTCAGCGCTGTGGGAAGAGCCCGTTAGCCTGGAATGCGTAGGGATTTCCCAGTACACTTTCCCCTGGGGAGATTTAGCTTAGCCCGTGACTTGGGTTCGCCCTTTCCAGAAAGCTATGCGAAAGCCCTTAATAGACCCCGTAATAACCCGTTTGGCGTCAGCCCCGACAAGATCTGCATTCGTGTCGTGTTTCACACCTCAACACTAGTAACGAATTGGCATGTTCTGTTTAGGAGCCGTCCATAAATGACGTCACGCGATTTTGGACGATTTTTGACCCCCTCCCCCCTCGTCACACGGCGTCACAAAAAGTCAGACCCCCCCCCCCCCCTCAAATATGACGTCACAAAGCTCTGCTCCCCCCCCCCCCAAAACCATATTTCCATTTTGAAAATAAAACGTGCTTAAAATCGCTTTAAACTATTGTCATTGTAGTGCGTATTTAATGTGGCGCTGCACTCTAATGTTATAGGAGTGTTGTTATAACAATTAGTGTTGGTATAACAATTATATATTTATTTAAAGTTGCTCATTTTTTGTGACGTCACATTTCTCACACACCCCCCTTGTCACACATTGTCACAAATGTCTGACCCCCCCCCAGGTGCGTGACGTCATTTATGGACGGCCCCTTACGTGAAAAACCTTACTAATTGGTTGTGTTGGGTGGTGGCGGGTTTAAGGACACATTTTTATGAACGCGATCTAACCCAAAAAAAATATTATGAATTTCCATGTACAAGAATACGGATAAGCCGTATGGGCTGACAGGTATGGCTCAACACATATCGTTCATAGCACTATGGCCTTAAAAGTAAATATATATAAATATAATAGAAGACGTTTTGGGCAATGACCCTGATTTTATTGCAAGCGCATTCCACGCGCTGTTATCCAGAACACGACCACTGTAGTGTACTTAATGAGGAAGCTTGATTAGTTGTGTTTTAGAAGTTTTCCTTTAAATGTGCAATTTAAAACACATTCCTGCGGAGGGAGCTGGAAGGAACGTTGGGTTGCTCGGTCAATGGCCAGGGTCAACGGCGGCGTGGTGTATTCCGCAAATATGCCCGACTGTGAGGGCGGGCACAAGCCGGCGTGAGTAGGTTAAACGTTGAGTTTTATAAGGGCACCACAGGGTGACCAGCCCCTCCCAACCCAGCCCCACCCCTCCCACCCCCACCCAGCCCCACCCTCCCCACCCAACCCCTCCCCACCCTCACCCAGCCCCTCCCCACCCAACCCCTCCCCACCCCACCCAGCCCCACCCTCCCCACCCAGCCCCTCCCCGCCCTCCCCTCCCTCCCCACCCATCCCTCCCTTCCCCACCCAGCCCCTCCCTCCCCACCCAGGCCCTCCCTGCACGACGGACACAATAATCCCATGTGGACTGGTGTAACCAGGAGGTTCCTATCAGTATAAAGTACTGATAGCTTAATTAACAACGACTGTTTTTGGGATGTTACATTGGACATATAGCACGTCTTGGAACAATAAAGTGAATTGCAAAGCTCGTAATTTATGCTAAATTCATCAGAAGGAAACTAACTAACCACTCCAATCAGAAACTAAGTTACCGAATCGATTTGGGAGCTTCGCAGACACTTGGGTATCGTTAATAAAGTACTTCTTAGGTAGACATTGTGTTATAGGTGTGAGCTGTGACGGTGGTCAAGATATGGCAATATTGCAATAGATAATTGAATATATCTGAGTGTTTCCCATATTATCTTATCTGACATGTCCACTCAGAAAAGTTAAGTAGGGACAAACTACAACGACATTTCATTACATTTCCCCCACCAATCTCATACATTTATTGCATATTGTTAACGCTCTCCTCTGTGGGGACATGTAGCTCCATCTTTATGAACTTTCAATCACCTGTTGAGAAGCAAATGCAATGTCAGTGCGGCGAATGGGTTATGTAAAAACTAATTATTTTATTTTGTAATGTGGACACGCCTATGAAGCAGACGTATTGTCTGCTCAACTGATGTATGTGCTATGACGAAGGGCCATTGCCCGAAACGTTGCCTCCTGCTTACACTTTATTTAGGCCAAATTGTTGACGAATATGTTGAGTAATGTTTTTTTTTAAATCCTTTATATTAAGTTCGCGTGCTTGCTTGCTTGCTTAGGACCGTGCAAATCTTTCGGTCGTTTTTTAACCCACTTCCCGTGATCCAATCGAGCTGACATTTTCCACACAGACTCGTTGTGCGTGACAATTAATTTTCGTGAAATTTTTTTTCCAAAATTTTACACTGTTTAGGGAAAACTAATTAAATATTTAATTACCAATTGCTTAATACTGGCAGACAATCATCTGACCCATAGATTGCAGCCATCTCAAGCCAGAGGACGAGAGAACTCTAGCCGCCACGCATATAAAGGATTTAGAGTGAAAAACTTTGTTTTTACGGGTTTACTTGTTTATGAATGAACCACCACCGGCCGTACCAACACACGCAGAGGTGAAAAACCCTCTGATCTGGCACGAGACCCTCGCCACGCTGTGGTGACGGTGGGCGTGACCGCGCCGTTGACCCCGCCCCCTGTCTTTATTGACCCCGCCTCCTCCCCCCGAGGCCCCGCCCCCCTCACCCAACAATGTCTTTTGTGTGTCCGCGTTGTTTGGGTCGCGGGGCCGCGGCTCCGCGCTGCCCGCCGCCCTCGGCCTGAGCACGGGAAGCGACGAGGAACAGCAACAACAACAACATCACGACCACCGACAACTTGGCCACCCGCAGCAGCCGAGAGAAGCAGGATAACGAGGAGGGAGTACGAGGAGCAGCAGGAGGAGGAGGTGGTGGTGGCGAGCAGCGAGCGACCATGGCGGTGACAGCGGCAGCGGCGGCGGCGGCGGCCTTCGATGAGTTCGTGGCGCCGCCGGAGTGCCCCGTGTTCGTGCCGACGTGGGAAGAGTTCTCCGACCCCATGGGCTACATCGCCAAGATTCGCCCGTCGGCCGAGAAGACGGGGATTTGCAAGATCCGTCCCCCGCCGGTGAGCCAAGTGCGGCCGCTGCTGTGCTGATCGCCGCCGCCGCCCCTCACCTCCCCCCTCACCACCCCCCTCCCCTACCCCAACCCCCCTCCCACTTCCCCGTGCCTCCATCGCTGCCTTGCCTCTGCGTACGTCCGTCGCCTTGTTGCCGTGTCCCCCCGCTCCTCCTCCTCTCTTGCCAGTCTCCCTCGCCGCGTACTCGGCCGTGCCGAGGAGGAGCGGCGGCGTCAAACATGGCGCCGCGCCGAACAAAAGCACGGGGGGGGCCGCGGCCTAGCACGGCCCCACGCCGCGGCCTTGCCTAGAGATCCCTGCGGGGCCGCGAGCGATGGCGCCGGTAGACCAAGGCAGGGGTGGGGGGGGGGTCGTAAGGTCTAGTTTGACACATCCATACCTGCTCCGTCGAGATGGTGGTGTTGTTGTGAATGGGCTACATGACGGGGATTGTAGTTGGCGATTCGGGCAGGGTGATTTAAAGAGCGGCGGTGTCTTGTGATTGTTGACAGCCGCAACTTTACAGCGCCCTCAGCGAGCGCCTCCGTCCGTTATCTGTCCATATCGGAGTTGTGTCAGTGGCGTTGTTTTGTTTTGCTTACAATGTCTTGCTGCATCGGTTGGGACGGGTCCGTTTGCGTTGAACCTTTAGTTTGTGACACGAGAGTGGTCTTTAATGAGCCGTGTGGTACACACACATTACTGTATATACTTGCAGCAAAATGGACTCCTGGCCCACCGAGATTCGGTTTTTGATATTAGCGAAATTGAGATTTTTTTTTTTTGCTTGAAGCCATTGCGGTGAGGGAATACTTGTTCGCTTCAAAACAAACCCCACCGGGTAAACTTTTGCCGCGAGGGCTGGCTTGTCTGCAGGCGGGTCATCGCCGGTGTTTTGTTTATGTTTTTGGTTCGTGTCGTCCCTCATTGTGAATCGCCTCCCCGTCGGGGGTTTTGCACTTGCCCCCCCCCCCCTTTGCATGATTCCACTTGTGTGCACGCACCAATGTTCCCCCCACGAACTTTTTCCTTTCAGTTCGTACGCACCTTAATAGCATACAACGTCCCCTTGTTAAGGAGGCCTGGGCTACACACAATAATGTCCAAAACCTGTCAGATCCCGTTCGATTAACGCCCTACGCCGTGTCGTTTTTGGACTATACTATACCCTAAAACGCTGGTCACTTTAGGTTATTGAATAGGGGAGACCATGATCATGTATATGCCAATCGCCACTAATGTTCGCCCTGGCCTGGAATCAAATTTAGTTTTTAAGGAATGCCGAAAGCAGTGCTTAAACCGCTGCCCCATTACGTATCCTTCATTAAAGCAAATGGCAATATTGAAACATATATCATGCACATACACACAATATATATGAAGAAACACTTGAGTGTAAGCGCATCATGTTGTGGAGAGAATCATTCCCCCCCCCCCCCCTTACAATTTTCAACCAAATATTCCAACTAATGGGGCGCCAAGGTGACTAAATGTTAAGTAACCTCATGTGGTATACAGGATATGTCGTGGGTTCGATCCTAACCCAGATGCCTGGTATATTTGGAGTTTGCATGCTCTCCCCATAGTCGAGTGGATTTTTCTCCGGACCCTCCGGTTTTTTCCCTCACATTTAGAAACATACTTTTAGGGTATTTGGCTGCTATACATTTCCACATGATAAGCCACTTCGTTGAGCTATCATGCGTGACAAGGTCGCTTCTGAAAAAGAGTAGTATAGCTCGGGGTGCCTTACCTGATGAAATAAAAAATTGTTTAAATGAGCACGTCAGATACAGTAATGCATCTTATTCCAAGAATTCCCATTAAATGTATTTTTCAATGACAGAAAATTTAAATACGTTTATACATTTTAATTGTTTTATATTCCGCTCAATATCTATTCCACGAAACGGTATTCTTTCTAAACATGTCATTTAGTGTATATATTTTCGTAATTTTTCGATTTAAAGCTTTCGTGACTGCAGGGATTCATCTTCTTGGTTCTTTCGGTAAAGTCACGTAGAAGGGAAGTAATAAAATAATAATTATGTTTTATTTTTATTATTTTATTACTTCCCTTCTACGTGACTTTACCGAAAGAACCAAGAAGATATTTTCGTAATGTTATAACCAGGTTTCGCTGTGGTGAACTTATCTCCAAAACCCCCTGCATTGCTGGCAAATGATAACCTCCGACACTCATCTTGACTCTCATTGCACTTTTTAAAAATATAACTGACGTGAAAATAAGTGTCGCAGTGAGCAACATGCAAGCAAGTATTCGTGCTGAGTGAAGTTACTTGCGACGTTTACCTTTATCTTGGGAACAGAAAAAGCAATACCCCAAGTGAAACAATCGTAAAGCTATGGGAGGGGCAGTTCCTTGTTATTTTTGGCGTTATTTGCAGATGCTCCTTTGAAACGTAATAGCTAAGTGTGTCCTTCAACAACAAACGCATTCCGCTCAGTCGCCTCCTGTGTGTAATAGGGAGGCTACCTTTTTTTCAAATACCGCGATAATCATTATTTACGAATATTAAGAATAAAAATATCTAATGTTGAAACCTTTTCCAGACAAATGAATAAAAATGCTCATAAGATCAGCAACCCTGATGGTTGCAAAAGCAATATAGCAAATATACTGATGCTCGTGTGCACGTGTAATTTAAGTTGTATTTAGAGCAATACAACTTACAATAAACATGCAAAAGTCACGACAAGATACACGCATGCAAATCAAACGCAACATGTATGTGATAACAGTGAGATATGTACATTGATCGTGATAAGCTGAACTGCAGTGTGCATTATTCAATTGCACGTTGGCTTAAATTACATTTACGAAATGCTCATAATGGCATGAGAGTAATGTAGGTTTGCGGTGAGTTTAGTACACGCGGGGTTTCAATGGCAGGGCCTGTGAGCTGTCATGCCACGTTTCTTGTCAACCAGATGTCCCCTCCTGCTAATTTGCACCCAGCGGGGATGCTTGCTGATGAGACCCATGCGTGGCCCTCTATCTGTGCTTGTGTTTTATGAAAATAAAGGGTGTTTTACGATATGGTGCAAATGGCATTTCTGCAGCCTGCCAGCCGAGCCAGCTCTTAACCACAAACAGCAAGATACATATACACTCTGTTTACCGTGGTTGCAGGACTTCCTCACGTGCCGGCATTGCGATGCCACATTGGGATGGATTAATTGGTTGTTGGTAGGGTTGTAGCAATATAGTCCGTTTTGCTAAATGTTGTTACGCTGTGATTATTGTTTCTCAAAACACTTTGTGACCTGACAAAATATTTCTGAAATATTAAGTCTTACTTAAATTCATTTATATTATCTATGAAATTACGACTTTACTACATGTTTTTTTCGGAGTAATTGATAGCATACTAATTATTTGACTTAATATTTGGGGTTAATTTAATTATTTTTTGTAACGTGTGCAGTTAATTTATTTATCTAAAGACTTGTGGCAGGCTTAGGTTGAGTAAACTACAGTTTAAAAATTAAGCATCCGTTTGGATCATATACTGTAAGTACATCAAAGCACAAAACAATGCAATAAAAAAACATGTAATACCATTACAAAGTTTTCGGAAACTGATATTGCGATTGTCATCCTATTTTGAAAATAAATATTGTATTAATATTAAATTATATCGCAGCGACCCTTGTCATTATTTATTTTCCACAGAGATAACTTTTATTTACTGGACACTTTTAGAGTTGATGTCTTATTAGAATGAATGGTCTTGTATCAGATGTAAATCCTAAAAGGTTAATATCAACATGCACACAAATTTAAAGGGCAGAAGTCGGAATTAACATGTCACGTGAAAATTGTACAAAAAAGCATAGGTGTTTTGTATAACTGGTTGTCATTTCCCTCAATTATTGTCTGATTTCAGTGCTTGTCAAGCTTTTTAAAGAAAACGTGCTGATTTTATGGGTGAAATGTGGCATCATGCACCCTCATTGGTGCAGAATCCCGTGTGGTCGGCATAGCATTTAAGGCTAATGACGCAAAACTCGCTGTGCATTTCTGGGTAAACTCTCCAGGAAACTCCCGTGATATAAACGATAAGGTATTTATCAAATTGGAACAAAACCCAAAATGTAGCCACTCTTGTTACCATTACGAGACTGTGCCTTCAGTGACTTCATCTGCACCGTGTTCATGAGCGTTTTGTTTGACATTGTCGCGATGCCATAGATTTTCTGGGGTGCTGTGCCCATGACCCTTACACAAATGCTTTGGCAGCTTTCTTGTGTTGTAAGCTGCACAACATGTCAGTCATAACCTGCTCTGTCTTCCCTGCCACTTTGTCCCCACTGGATTTGCTGACAGGCTCCTTTGTACGCACGTCCAGCCCGCTCTGGCCCTTCGTGGGTGAAGACGCATGCTGTGGATAATTTTTTGCTCCCTCCCTCTCCCCCGCCACCACGCAGGGTGCAGTGTTTTCTTACAGAAAATGCAATTTGTAAAATAATGTTCCGTGAATGTATGGTCAGTGTATGGAATTAGATTCTTGCACTGGTGTAATGCCATGTCGTGTTGCCTTTACTCGTGTTTATGGGACAGATTATGTCTGTGTAGACACACGATGCACACACTAAGAATGGCTTGCGTAATTGTTATACCATGCCGAATAGAAATCCCCTTTTTTACACTAGTTAATTTATTTGGAAGTTCAACCTGTATCAGGTTCCTAACAAATGTGGTTTATATAAGTAGGCCTGAAATTGAATGGATACAGAACTCAAATTTCAAGTTATTGTAGCAAGTACATTAAGAGAGGTTTTTAAGCTGAAACGTCATTCTGTTTTCTTTGTGATTGTGCCGCTGCGTATAATACATTTACCCTATGCCAATAATGACATGTTTGTTTGTGCAATTAATGCTGTGCAACTCTTTGTTTTATTATTTTAAAAATCTGAATAAATATTTGTGTTACTCAGTTTTGAAGAGAACTTAACGACAAGTCTTACATGCTTTATAATTGCTTCTAAATTCTTATGAAGGGTAGGAGGGGGAGAGATTAACCCCTTATATTTTTGAGTTTCATACATATGGGTGACAGGGTGCCTTTTTTGTGTGGAGTTTGTACGTTCTCCCTGTGTAGTGCGTGGATTTCCACAGGGTTCCCTGGTTTCTTCCCAAAGCTAATTAAAACATACAATTTAAGTTGGTCGAAAATGAATGTCTATATGAGTGAACTTATTTCGCACTATACGTAGCCAACTGTGCTAATTGGAGGTGCGAATTTAATTGTTACAAAATTACCTGCAAATACTCATTAGTGAAAGCTTGGCAGGACCCTCCTGAAAAAGGCTTGACTCAATGAGGCTTTCCTGAGTAATCAAGCATAATAATACTTAGGCTTATAGAGAAGAATGTCTTCTAGAGCATAACAGAATGTAGTGTGCAGCTATTTTTGTTAATTTAGAATTCATATTCTTGGGTTTTTTCGGTAAAGTCACGTAGGTAAAAAATTTAAATGAATAAAAGTAAAATAAAATAAAAATCACGACGTTTCGGAGGCAACACAAGCCTCCGTCTTCAGGTGGAACCGTCACAGCACGCTTGCTGCATCAAGTAAATGAGAAATTCCAAGAGATCCGACCCCGTATATATACTGGTTGAGGGGGGAGGAGCCAGGGCAGGTCCCTGGATAGGAGTTTTTTTTTATTATGGTAAGGTTGGTGCGGCTGAAGCTACGGCTAGTCTACATAGACGGAGGCTTGTGTTGCCTCCGAAACGTCGTGATTTTTATTTTATTTTACTTTTATTAATTTTAATTTTTTACCTATGTTACTTTACCGAAAAAACCCAAGAATATGAATCCTTGCAGTCACGAAAGCTTCAAATCTAGAATTAATTTAGAATTATAGGCAGAGTTTGTGCTAATTTACGGGGATTAGATGGGCTATGCTCTATAGGATAGATATGCTTGTTGCTTGCGTTATTCTAACTTTAAATTCTCCATGGGTTCCTCCAGCAGTTGCTCTGCCATCTACTCTGTGGGCTATTCTATGGAAAACCATATGCTTCCTGCATCACATTGGAAATTTTAAACATTTCTCACTCTCATCTACTTTGCTGTTTACGGAATGATTTGTTTGCATCCTACTTCCGGGCCACATTTGTATATTTTGCCTTGTATAAGTGCATTGCGTTTATTTTGCACCTAATACCATGCTTCAGTAACAAAAAACTGTCCTTTGAAAGTTGTGCACAAAGCATTCGGCTGATTAAACGTTATTTAAAGAAATTTTGGAACTCGTGCTTTCCAGTTTTCAGTCGAAAACACACTGCCTCTTGGATTAATTTGACCTCGTCATTGCCAGTATCTCTTACACATGGCTTCCTGGAATGTGGTCACGATGTTTTATACACAAATGAGCACTTGATGCGAAATATCATGGAAGTTTCTTGCTTTTTAAAGTTCACGTACAGAGATTGTTTTCTGTTTTCATAAGAATCGTATTCAATTATTTATATCTTAATATGGATTGCCTCTTCTGCTATAGTGGTTATGTTGATGTACATTTTATGAAAATATTGTACGTGCCATCCTGAAAGTAATTTATCATGCTTATATTCAATATATGTAGATTTGTTGTCTGCTACATTAAGGTACAAGAACGGTGAACTTTTAACCCCAGCAACTCTTAGGATTAGGACGCCTTGTAAGAGACCTGTCAACCACAAATCCGATAATAATTCTCCCGAGTTGCACACAAAAAAGTAATGCATTAAAGTAATGATCAGATGTTACCAATATGCAGTTGCTGACGCTCTAGGAGATTAGCACACAAGTCGATATATGTCAAAGCAACGAGAAAGGGTCTTTTCACGTCCAAATGCAAGCCAGAGTATGTCCAATGCCCACGAGGCTTTTGTGTGCACACATGGTTTGCTGCCGTGAAAATGGTCAAGCGTGCACCTGCTGGGAAAAAAACTAAAACTACTAAAGTTTTATTTAATTTTACCAGGTAAGGGCCACTGAGCTGCTATATAGCGCTTTTCTGAAGCGACCTGGCCACAAATGATAGCTCAACGAAGTGGCTTATCACGTGGAAATTTATAGCAGCCAAATACTCTAAACGCATGTTTATTAATTTGGAGGGAAAAAACCAGAGGACCCGGAGAAAAATCCATGCCACCACAGGGAGAACATGCAAACTCCAAATATACAGGTGTCGGGGTCGGGATCAAACCCACACACGCCTGCATACCAGGCAAGGTAGTTCACATATTTCACCACTACAGCGCCCCAGTGTGACGTTACCTCTGCCATCACGTATGTGATACGAAATAGATAAATTGGCTCTTGTAGTTTTGTCTGGGGTTGCTCTCCTAATTGGTTAGTTTTTTTTTATTTTGGTAACAAAACACACTCACTGTTGCACTGTTTGTTTGAAAGTCACAATTCTCATCTGAGATTGAAACAATAATATGAAAATCAAATCTAATATAAATGTCATGCACAGCTCTTGAATGTATGTGGGGAGGAAAATAACCGACATTTGATATGGAACATGTAATCTGATTATCACTATCTAATCTTACCAAATTCGCAAACAAACTTCACAAAGCAAAAAAAATATGTGACCGGTATTGGCCAAGTAAACATTCCCCTGCTATAATATTACCTGTAGGTTATTTTATTGGGATTACACACAGCAACATAATCCTCTACTGGACATACTTGGCTGGACCCTCTTGGAAAAGACTTGAGACTCGGTGTAGTTTCCCTGGGTAAATAGGCTGAATAATATTAATAATCATGCAGCATATGAACTCCATGATCCATGGACTTCCCTAGATAAAGGAAGACTGACTTCATATTTGCTGGTCATTTATGTATTTATATGTATGGGAGCTTTTTTCTAGTAGCAGGTATTAAAATAAGAATCGGTGTTAACCTTTCTGCCAATAAAACGGGCATTAAGATGTTCAAACACCAAATAGATAACGTTTGCAAGGAATCAAGTCTGCATTAACCACACGTACTCGTGGAAAAACATGCAAACAAACGTGCTCTGATAATGTGTTGTCTTTGAATATGGTATGTATGTATGTTGAACTTCTTTCGCACCGTACGTAGCGAACCAGTGCTAATTGAAGGTCCCCAATACACTGCATCCCCAGCCCTGCATTAGCTCCTGACACTTGACAATTCTCGCCGCGGAGTGCCGTTATTGGGTCCTCGTGTGTCGGGCGGCCATTCAGTCTTGTGTTGTCTGTGTGGTTGCTTTCAGGACTGGCAGCCACCGTTTGCTGTGGACGTGGACAAGTTTCGTTTCACGCCCAGGATTCAGCGGCTCAACGAGCTGGAGGTAAAGCACTACCAAAATCAGTTGTTTTCCAACTACCGGAGAAACATTAAGGCGGATCATTGCATATGGCAGCGCCCCAGTGTGACGTTACCATTCACGATGTTTATACCGATTTTTGGCAGGTAACCTTAATGTCTCTTCCAAGGTTGGATTTTATTTTGTTGCCTTGGTCAGAAAGGATCCTTCCAATTTTTACTTCGGATTTTCCAGATTATAAAATACTTTGGAATTTAAGAAGCATTCCAAACTTGTGGCCGGTGTCAATAAACTTATACAAATCTGGTCTCGCACACAATAGATTATAAGACCTACCTCCATTTTTTTTTTATAAATAGAGCATAACTAATTTGTGTATTATCCGGAGAAGACAGTATATGAAAGCAAGCTTTTTCACCCTATTATCTATTTTTAAGTTATTATTAGTTTATATTTTCACTGTTTTAAAACGAATTAAAGTGACGCATCAAAATCGGGCACTGTGTGTGATGTATTCGTCGTGGTCTGGCAAAACGTGCATCAGCTTACACACAAAACGCACAACACTCACTTAGCCTTTGGTGCTTGTCAAAATCATTGCAGCTCTTCTGCCGGTTTGGCAGTGGCCTTTGCCGCAGTGCGTTGATCCGCTGCACTGCATCTTGTTCACTCAGGCACAGACTCGGGTGAAGTTGAATTTCTTGGACCAAATCGCCAAGTTCTGGGAGCTGCAGGGCTCCACGTTGAAAATCCCCATCGTCGAGCGCAAGATCCTTGACCTCTACATGCTCAGCAAGGCAAGTGCGGACAGAGCTTTAAGAGACTCGGGTTGTTCCTTCCATGTCGAGCCTTATCGAAAAATTGCGTGCAACGTAAACGATGAAAATTGCCAATCTGTTGGCCGCACTTATCGAAATGTCCTAATAATAGGATAAAACTCCAGCCCTGGTATGTGTGTGTGTTTTTGTGTCTGTTCACACGTAGCACATGGTAACCGATGATCTCTGCTGCCGGTGCCATATGATGGTTTCCGCTGACCAATCGCATTGGAAAGTGCCGTGCGGTTTAATGTTGAGGCTTACCAGATCGGTTCAATTGTGGCCTAAAGTTGAACTGCATTCTATTATGAATTCCACACCTTTTGGAATTGAAAGATTATTGAAATAATCAATTTACAATTGTAAAGGAGACCTTGTCTTCTTGACGATCATTAATAAGAGTCGAATTGTTTTTGGGCCACTGCAAACCCTATCTCTTTCTGTGAATAAATGCATGTTTGTTTTTAAACTAGTATCCTTGTGATTTGTGCATACTGCATTGACTAATGACTGACAGTTCAGGTGGTATGCATGATAACTCACGTTGGGAATTCCCCTGTTGTGTGTGTGTGTATTATGTTGAACTTTTTTCGCACTGTACGTAGCCAACCGTGCTCATCGAAGGTGCAGGGGAATTTATGGTATTATTAGTTGTCCTAGGAATGCATAATTTCAATAATCTAAGTGAATGTTTTCAGGTCATTGCAGTTCACCACTTTCAGGTAGCGATTACCTTCACCTCAAAGAAAATACTGGACCGGTTGTGGTAGATGTCATTTCTAAGCCTGTTTCTAGTTGGAACTGGCACGAGGAGGACTATCCTGGGACAAGAGTTTTCCTACTTTATCAGTTGTCTATATATATATAAAAGGAAAATTTGTGAATGTGTGTCTGTTCGAAATGTTTAGCATACATCCCGACATGCAACAAATTTGAAATTTGGCAAGTGGGTAGTTTCCAGACTGTAGACAATGCAAAAAGTATAACAATAGACTTTCGTATTTTTTTGGGGGGGGTGGGGGGCGCAATAATAGATATATTTTGCAAGGCAAGTGAGCTATGACGTCACATTTGTGACGTCACCCGCATGCGGCAGCGTTACGCAGCGTGCTTGCTGACGTGACGCATCCCCCCCCCCCCCACTCTCCGCGAGTAAAGTGCCATATAAATGTGTTGCAGGTCTAAGGCGTTCTTCGCGCAGCATTGCTTTTTTATTTGAGTCGTTTGCTGCCGTACGCACCCTGAAAGTTGTGTGTGTCTGCAGCAAACGCGTGTATGTGTACCTATGGACGCACGCGTGCGCGTGTGTGGGGGGAGCGGTAGTGTAGTGGTTCGCGCGCTGTGCTACGAACCCGGCGACCCAAGTTCGATTCCCGCTCACGGCCACCATTGGTGACGATTATTTGAACCGGTCCTGAGCCGCCCCGAGGTCGACTCAGCCTCAAACGAGTAACTGGTGGGGTGTGTGAACATCGCCACTGGGGAGACAAAGGCGGCCGGGCGTGGTGAACCCAAGTCCCGGGCGAAGCCGGGTAGTAAAGCTAGTGTTGTATAAGACATTTAGTATCGCACATTGTTAATAACTGTGAAGTTTTCCAGCTTCATTTGGGAGTGAAGAAATGTGAACTTGTGATAACAGGTCATTTTCACCCTTACAGAAATATCCAGACATGTTAGCGTAATTTGTAGGATTCAAATGTGGTCTGTGTGTGACATTGTACGTGCCAGTCTTTTGAGCACCGTTGTTCGTGATCAGGTCTAAAAAGCGGTTAGAAGCAAATTTTATACCCAGCTCATTCAAAGATGCTTCAAACCTTCCCATTTACGTGGGTAAACCGAGCTAACTATGATGATTCTTTGGCTTTGAGAGGCAAGCTGGCTTTGTATGTATTATACATACGTAGAACTTCTTTCGCACCATACGTATCCATCCGTGTTAATCGAAGGTGCGGATTTTGTGCATTTTAGAGCCCCCATCTTAAAGTCTGCCGAGTATACTAACAACCCAAAGCTTGGGGAATCCTTCCTGGTGCTGAATGTACTCGGAAAAAAAACCTCCGTGCACCCACCCAACAACTTGCACACACGTGTGCAACGCGTAAACGTTGGTGCGCAGTCGTTAAGACCGGCACGGAGTTGTTGGCCATGCCACCAGCTCGTAACGCTGTCTCGTTAAAGTGACTGAGGTGGGTTGTTTGTGTCACTGGCCTTTGCAATGAATTCCAAGTATTCCAGGAGGAGGTAACCTAATATTTATGTTTTTTTTTGTGTATCCGTGCACATTAAGCTGTGCCCACCGGCAGTTTGCATTAATGTTTTACTTCAAGGCTACTTTAGAATATTTCTCATCCACAAATTGTTTAATGTTAACCTTCACGTTTAGACTATTAATGCGTAAACAATTTTCCCACTTTCAGCAGATATATTTGAGGTAATAATTCTTCGTATATTTTTTTTTCAAATGATCTTTCATGCACTTTATGACCGACTGAGCCAGTTTTCATGAAACATGGATGAAGAATATAAGTAATCTGTATAACTCTATCACGAGGAATGGCCATCTGCATTCTAGATTTAAATTTAACCTTTTCTTTTTGGTGTTTGAGCAACACTGAATTTAATGCTTAATTAAACTTTGACACCTATTGTTGATTTTATAACTTGATGGTCTACATTAATACCCCAATTTACGTCTCCCCCTTTTTACGTCGTTACTAATACCACTACCCGATATGTCGCCTCAACCCACGCTTACGTCGCTGACAGCATCATCCGTCCTTCTCGGATCCGTCTCCTCTCAGCCTTCAGCCTTCACCTACCCCGTACACGAACTACTTTGCATCGCGCATATAGAAATGGACTGTACTGTAGAGTACAATATATTATTTACGTACCGTATTTTGGTGATGTATTTTATCCTATACTCTTTCTTATTGCACCCTGTATAATTCGTGTTAAAGTTTACCGCTGTACACTCGCGTTGAGTACAGAAGTTTTAGTCATTTAATCTAATGTTGTGAGTACGTCTGGACGATTGTGCGCGTTTTAACACGCAGCTTCACCGCGCCCTCCGTTTTCTCTGCTTAGCTTCTCATGGAGAAATTGCTTTGATTTACGTCGTTTCGATATTCGTCGCACATTTCAGGAACGCATCCACGACATAAGGTGGTATATTGCTGTAGGTCATGTTTACTGGGCTCCCTCTAGTGGTCATCTCATGATATGAATACAGTAGAACCTCTGGTCACGAACGCTTCTGACCACGACCAAATCGGGTTCCGACCAAAAAATTCACAAAACTTTTGAATCTGGTCACGAACACAAACTCGGGTGGCGATCAAACACGGCCGCGGCCGATTTCCCCTTCCGCCCCGTTTTTTTTTGCAAGCACCAAATTTCCTGTTTGTTTACAAACAACAGCGACCCACGTGTGGCCGCTTGCTCAGTCTCGCTTAGTAAGATATTAATTTTGTGAGTGTAGTCATACCCCTCCCCCCTCATTGAAGCCGTTATTTAGAGAGCGAAAGCGCTGAGTACGTAAATCGCTAATATAAGAACCCGTTAATCTCTTCTCGCATCATTCATACGATGATGCGGTGAAGTAAATGTTCATACGATATTACGGCGAATGCTTCCAAAAACAATACTGTACCCAAATATTACTGTTAACTTACTTTCAATAGAAACATGAATTTCTCTTACGAATATTCTCTCTCTCTCTCTCTCAAAATCGACCGACTGATGTAGCAGACGAAACAATCATCTTATTGAACGATTCTAAACCTTGACGCGGCAATGTTAGTTTTCTCTGTTGTTCAAGGTTTTCTCAGTGTTATTCAATGTTTTTACATATAGTTTACTATTACACTGTAAATTCTATGGCATAATTAACTATTTTTGTGCTTAAAAATAAAAAAAACTATTTATATACAGTTCGTAGGAGTCTGGAACGGATTAATCGTATTTACATACAATCCACTGGGGAAATTAGGTTCTAGTCACGACCAAATCGGGTTGCGACCAAAGTTATGGAACGAATTATAGTCGTGACCAGAGGTGTTCTACTGTACTAAGTCACGAGTCAATCTGAGAAAAAGTAAATTTTCTAATTATCACCCAGTTTAAAATGTGAGAATCTTTGAATATTGGGTTACTTCTCAACAACATAATTCATCTCTCTGGGTGAGATGGTTGAATAAAGATGTGCGTTTGACCGCCGGCTATCTAATTCCTTTTTTTTGTTGCCGTTCCTGCTGGTATGCACTGTCAAATTTGTTGACGTTCAGGTTATATTGAGCATTGATGAATGTTTATCATGAGAGGTGGCTGGGTGAGCGAGGTAACGGCGCTGAACTGGCAATGCTGACAACCAGGGTTTGATTAAACCAGATCATCCTCAAGTACAGTTAATTGATGGTCTCAGTCTGGTCACCAATGACTGCCCAAAAATATTATCACAGGTTTGCTTGTGATCATAATTTGGTATAAATTCCAGCTCTTAAGAACTAGCACGGTTGGCTACGTCCGGTGCGAAAGAAGTTCTACATGCGTACGTAGACAATATCAACTTGACTGTCATGCAGTCAATCATCATGCGCGCCATTACCCAACATCAAGGGTCGAACTGCTCTGCGAGAGAAGTAGAATTTGTCTCGTGACATGACCCCGATCGCACAATCGGGATTAAATTGACGGAACAGTAGCAATTTTCTCAAACAAATATACAATATTAATACTCATCGTGCCTATTATGTTTGTTTCAGTTCATCCCATTATGCCATTTCTTTTTAATGCTTATGTTTGTGTCTTTTTGGCACCTCTTGCGAGGCATGATTTAAAGTTCACTCTCATTAGAAACACGAGACTCTGTGGGCATTGCTGAGTGTGTCAGGTGTGTCCAATACAGAGAACGGAGTGATTGATAGCATTACCATAAAATCACTATAATACACTTGGCTGGCCTCACCCATTTGTCTAATTGGATCCGTTTCATTTATCCGTCAATGGAAAATGGTACGACATGCACGTAAACAAAAGGATATGAATAACATTGGCCCCTCCATACATTTCGTCCTCGAGTCCCTGAACGCATGCGGTAAATTCACCACTAATGCCACTTGGCTGATACAAACAAGTTTGAAAAATACAACCCCTCAATACTGACTGAGGACATTTAAGGACACTACCCTAGAACATGTATTCTAGTTCTGTGTATTCAGCTTAAACCAAGTCTCTTGATTATTCGTATTCGAGCTCTTCGTGTAACCCTTGCGTATTTTTGCTCTCGTATGTGTACACAGGTGGTGTCGGAGGAAGGTGGCTTCGAGACGAGCTGCAAGGAGCGCAAGTGGTCGCGTGTAGCGGCCAAGATGGGATACCCGGCAGGGAAGGGAGCCGGATCACTGCTCCGCTCTCACTACGAGCGCATCCTGTACCCCTACGACCTCTTCCAGTCTGGAGTCAGCCTCTCCGTGAGTGTCACATACTCCGCGCGCCACTTCTGCTGCCCATTGTTTGGACGCCCGACAGGCGATAGATGAGCACTAAGCGCTGCCATTCATCATGATAGAAGTGCCGGGAAAGAAGTCTGTGCGCTGTGCTTTCGAAAAGAGGGCTTGCACTCGGGCCTCTTGAGGCGACACGGTGAAATGTTAAGTTCTGTCTATATAGCCGTTGTTGCAGACCTTAAATCTCAAGGACTTGTGTACATTGGGATGCACTGAACATATTTGAGCTTTTCAGTGCAGCAGCAATGCTGCCTTGTAGTTTTAATTGTGAAATTGATAGCTTTTGTGCATTCGGTTCCCAATAACCGCACAGCACACCCTGGGGTAGTCACTTTAAAAGCAAAACAATTCTGACATGGTGCAAATTATGCGGAGTTTAATTTCGTCCCTCGCTTCAATATTGTAGGATCCTAACCCCTTCGCCATGTCAGCTGCTCTAAATCAGAATTTTGCACGTGTTTTAACTTGCATCCTTTTCACTTAACCTTGACTAGTATTATATGCAAGTTACTGCACGCACGTACCTTCAGAAATCCCAAATCCTTTACAGTCTGTGAATACTTCATTTGCTATCACTTTCTTTGCATTGCTTTTCAGTAGAAATATTGAACTTTTGATGTGTGTGGGTTGTGACCATTTATTGCTAGGACCATGACTCCTCTCCCATGAGCTGTGTGTGGCCTTTGAGGTGTGAGCAGCAACGCGGCGTCAATAAAGCGAGGAACTAGGAATAAATCAGTATGCGCAACTCATCTTGGCGCATAGTCTTCTCAGTTCCTTCCTCATCGCTGCTTGGCCAAACGATGAAACAATGCTTTGCCAGTTCCGCGCTCGTTGAAAACCCCGTCGGTCAAGAACAGTCGTGCGTCAGGCAACCAGCAGGCGGAGATTTACAGGGTTAAGGCAGCGGTTCTCAACTTAATTGGCCGCTCGAACAAGATCACATGTCCACATGTCCAGATCACAGTGTCCCACGCCTCTGGTCAACACGGTGTCAGCAAGGCGATTTGTTTCACATTGTGCCGTAGTGTGTTTTGTCGCCACACATCGACGATGGCGTTCCCCTCTTACATTTCAAATTTCTCCTGCACGGTATCCATGCTGCAGTCTGTGACCCCGACGAGTTGAAAACCGCTGTGTTTTTAAGCGGTGGTTGTGAGGGGTCCCAGGCATCAGCGTTTTGAAAGGATATGTGCGTGTTGGGTTGTAGTGCACTGATGTGACATTGACGCTGTCGCCTCGCTTGTGCACTCAGACCCTCTTAACCCTCTCCAAGCAGAAAATCTCCCTCAGACTGGCAGTAGCTGAGTTTTGCACAAAAGAGGTATGTTGTGTATTTAAAATCCTAACGTAACTCTCAAGTTCTTTCTAGATTGCTAACACTTAACTCGGCAACTTGAACGCGAGGCTGAGGAATAATTCGGTGCTGTGACCCTTCCAGAGGCAGCCGTCTCCCGATGTTCCCTTCTCTTTGCACGGATCACAGTTAGGGCTGTGCCGACGGACCGGTTTTATCGTCGGTGGAATTTTGTGTAACGTTTATAATTGAACATGTGGACAAACAAAGCAATCGTGAGTGCGATTATGGCCGTATACTGTACAGCTTTGCAGTCTAATACGGTATTGAACTCTGCCCTGTTTTGCCAAAGCTTCAGCCGTAAAGGAAGGGGAGCAAGCATTTTTCAACGTTTAAGCACTTTCGCTTATCCTTGGTTTTAAACTTTAATGCCTTGTTTTAAAAATGCCAGCAGCGTTTCCTGTGCAATCGTGGAGAAGAAGCTTCAGCTTAGAATTAACTGTCACTTTTCTCGCCGAGTCCCTAGTTTTCTGTGACACCGGTTACGTGTATTTCATGAAGCGCGAATAAAAGCATTGCGCATGCTTCTTTTGTTGAGTTATTTTTATTTTAGTGGCGATGGTGGTGAGGCCTTGCAAAGGATTTGGAATGTTGAATTAACGACTAAGGCACATTTTATTTGCCTCCAACCAAGTGCATGTCGATTTATGCCTTAGAAAGTTAAATATTAAATCATATTCACTAACTTAATTACCCTGTTGAGGGAAGAAAAAATATTTACAAGCGCTCATCGTATCGTCGCTTGATGCCATTTAACTTCATATCACCTTAATATATTGTCGCAGCGAACTGTGAAGGTGACCCCTTGACATGTTAACGAGCCTTTTAACTTGAAGCCCTCTTCTTGCCGGCGTTTCTCAGACCTAGACAACGTGTGACTGCTGGACCGCATCGACGGCGCGGTGAAAAGTTTTTTTGTCGCTGTCTCCGTGCGCTGAAATGCGCGTGGGCCGCTCTGTGCTCTGTTTTCACTCAGGGGCTCTCCAAGCCGCAGTTTGAGAGCAACGACAAGGACAAGGAGTACAAGCCGCACAGCATCCCGCTCCGACAGTCATTACAGCCTCCCAAAACCGACAGCTATGGTCGCCGTGCCAAGAGGCTCAAGCAAGAGGTGCCTTCAGTCTAAACTTTACGCCCCGTACTCTTTGGTAACCGAGTTTGTTTCTCAGTCCGCTTGTCCTGGTGAGGGTCGCAGGGGGCAGCGTGTTGAGTAGGGAGGTCCAGACTTCCTTTCCCTGGCGACAGACTCCTAGCTCTACACTACTATGCACTGCACTACTACACTATACACTACTTTACATTACACACTACTTTACATTATACACTACTATCCACAGACTCGAGCTCTTCCTGGGGAATTCCCAGGTGTTCCCAGGCCAGCTGAGCGACATTGTCCTGCCAGCGTGTCCTGGGCTGGCCCCCCCAGGGTCTTTGCCCAGTTCAGGTGTACGCTTGACGTTGTGGGTGGTTCCTCAACACTTTAATCTAAGCCTCAAATAAATAACCTGTGCCCTTATGTCAAAAAACCTCCGTCTCGCAGCTTTTTTATATAGCGTCCTGAGTTTTTGGGAGGTTTAGCCTTTGCGATTAATTAGTGTGCGTGGCTCCTGCTAGGAAACCATAGTACCCGGAGAGAGAACACACAACACTTACAGCGGGGTAACCAAACTTAACACGGACCCCTCACCTGGCCACCCTCACAGCCCAAGCTGATGGGACTTGGTATTCCTAGGCAGTCTCCCCATCAAAGTACTGACCAGACTCAGCCTTTGCTAATCTCCTGATATCTAGCGAGGTCGGATATATTTCGGGCAAAATTTCTGATTGGTGATTCGTTTATTTGGTCATCGGCGATCTCATAGGTATTCTAGTCATTATCGTTGAGGTATTTAATAACATATTCTTAGGTTTTTTTGGTTAAGTCACGTAAGTAAAACATCAAAATAAAAATAAAATAAAAGTAAAAAATCACGACGTTTCGGAGGCAACACAAGTCTCCGTCATCAGGTGGGACCGTCACAGCCGTATTTAATAACATGGTCAGGGTATTTAAATTGGTGTGTATTATTTATATTGGTGCTCTGGCTGAAGATTATTATCATAAATGTATTGAAATCTATTAAGTATTTCTACCAGCCCAGGATTGGCCCAGTTTTGGTGTAAATTAAATACTATTTACTATTAACATAACAAGTTTTGTCCATTTTAATGAAGACAGGAACATGCTGTCATGTGTGTAATTGAAACTCGAGACTGGTAACTCGTCGCTTTTTATTTGTAATGTTTCAGATTATCGTTTATTACATACTGATGACTTGTTCTTCAGCTGTTTACAGAGTGGATTGCTTGGCTGAGACAAAAAAAAACATAGCCTCATTTCCTCCAACAACAACAAACAGTGACGAGTCCCGTTTGTTTGTACTCATTTTATGTTTCTGTTCAGACTGCATTGTAAAAAAGGGCAAATGTCTGTGCAAGCGGGTGTTGGATTCTTCCCCTTGAAATCACACCGCTCGTGGTTCCTGTGATCTGCCCCAGCTCTATTGACTGTAGATTCTGACGAAAGAAAGTCAATAGCCATCGGCGTTGTTATGGTGACGTTAACGGAAATTACTGCTGATGTAAGAAATTAATGACAACGTAAATAATGCTTCCTTCCTATGTTTATCTTTTCACGTAAAAAAATATTTTGCGCGCAGCCCATTGGCCTTCTCCGAGCGCATCATCAGTTCGATACAAGCAATCTCCGGACTGTTTTCGATATTCAGTGTCACATCAGTATATTCAGGCTTGCTTGAACCAATGAATATAAAATAATAATTTAAATAAGTCTTGTTGCATATCCTATTGACCTTCCAAGCCAATGTTAACCAGCAGCATTTTTTTTTACCCCCAATAACCCTGCCACCTTCTTTGCCCGTCTTGTGTCTTAGCATCATAGTAATGTTGGTAATCTTGGTATGTATGTTGAACTTCTTTCGCACCGTACATAACCAACCGCGCTTATCGGAGGTGAAGCTAATGCTGATGCGTGCCCCCGTGTTCCATGATTTTACTGTCGCCCAGCCGGACGTTGTAGATACAGAGATGCCCAAACTCCCGGAGCTGCGACGGATGCAAGCCTACTGCTCGGGCATGCGTGCCAGTGCTCATGTGAGCGCCAACAAGGACAAGCTTGTCAAGGTCAAAGGTAATTTGGGGAGTGTCCTGGCCATCATTTGAATTGGTTGCGATGTGAGACAGGTCACGACAGATTAGCAAAAAAGCATCTAAGCAGAATGTTTAATTTTAGGTTTTTTGGTCTCGGCAACATTCTCAGGACTGCTTATAAGACAAATAAAACAGTTTCTTGCTGCGCGCGTGCGTTGAATTTTTTCGAGGTTCCTCATCGATGACCGATCCTTGAAAAGGATTTCTTAGAAGATACTGTAAAAAAAATCAAATACTAATTACCTTGTGAACACACATCTAGGCTGTATGTCCTCTACTATTTGACGTGAGTTTGAAGCTTAATGAATAAAATAGACTTCAGTGACTTTCAGGCATGCCGAAGGAATGCGCCTGTGACATCACTGCACTGGTGACTTATTATAAAGTTCACTGGTCATGTCACAGTAAGCACCGTCTAGCCAAAACAATTATGCAACCATTAAATGCACTTGATGCGTTGTTTCCAGTGTTTAAAATTACACTGCTCAAGTTAACTATTTTTTCTACTTGTGTCTCCCATTTGGAGGCACATGCAAACGCCTTGAGTAACACGAGTACATTTAATTGAAAACTAATATTAGTGCACGATTATAATTTAATTAAGTCAGGCGACCCTCAACGAGTCTCAAAGACTCTTTTTCAGGAGGGTCCTGCTGGGTATTAAGGTAAATGGCACACGCGTGGTCTCTGTGCGGTCTACTGAGCTCCAATTCCAAGCGGCTGAATTAGAAGCGTGTGCGGCCGTGCCTGGCCAGACGTGTACGCGCTTCATTTTTTTTTCCAGTCTCTCGTACGAGAGCCCCACTTCTCCAGCTCCTCTCCATCTCTCAACCTTGTTTTTGTCCTCCATGTCTTTTAGAAAGGGATTGGGAATTTCGACAATAGATGATAGAATGTCAACCTCGAGATGGACTGGGAATAGATAGAAACATTATAGGTATTGTCCATCAGAGACTTTGTACATGTGGTCCAGATGAATGGTGAGCAGTTCCCAAACATGCTCTTGTACGCTAACATTTATGGGTTGAGGCCACAAAGGACGGCCGAGGAAAAGGTGGATTGACGATATTGGAGAGGACTGCACAGCGATGGGGCTCGCACCCGCAGAGGCACTTAGAACTTGCCAGGGACTCAAGGGGTTGGAGGTTGGTCTTGGACGGGCTGCCAGCACACAACGATCTTCTGGTTGTCACCTTACGCTTGTATGTATGTTGGATTTCTTTCGCACCGCACGTTGCCAACCATGCTAATAGGTGCAGGGGAAGGACAAGAAGTAAGATAATAATAATAATCCCCTCTTACAACCTTGCACTTCCTTATACTCACCAACTCCCCCCCCACTGCCCCTCCGCTTCCTCTCGGCAGAAGAGGCGCGGGCGGTGGGCTCGAGGACTGAGCGCGCCTCCGAGGTGGCAGCGGCGGCGGCGGTGAAGGCGGGACGCGGGGTGCTGCCCTGCCGCAGCCCCGACCCTGAGGTAGGTGGCGCGGCGGAGAGCGGCTCTGGCAACGGAGGGGACGGCAGGACTCGCATGCAGATGCGACAGCGGACCGGCGCGCTCTCCGCACAGTTCGTAAGTTTCACAAGCAACCCGAGCACAGACTCCTTCCTGCACAACCTGAGCCTTCCTCCTTCCAGCTGCTGCAGCCGAGGCGAGCACACCATCTCTCTCCCTTCTTCTGTCTCATCAGCACCTGCTTGTGGACAGCAAAGGACCGTGTGTGTGCCTGAGGCCACACGCTATTTGTGCGGGCTCCGGATATCCATTGATGTCGTTCACAACAGCAGCACATTTTGCGTTTGTGTTGGGCAAGCTTTGAAACATTTTCCCCAATTGCTGAGTTATGAGACTCTTTTGGGTAAAGTGTTACGATGGGAACTATGTTTCTGTGCAGAATTTGAGGGGATCCCTCTGTACAGTTCCACTGTAAATGCTCTTTCGGCAATGGAAAATTATCAATGGAAATGTGTGGCTTGCCAAGTTAAGTTGTCCACAAGTCAAAAATGCCTTTCACAAAGCGAATTCCACTCTTACATTTCAAAATGTTTGAGCTCAGCCACTGCAGCTAGTAAACAACACATGGGGTGCCATGCCATGTCCCCTGATTCGTGAGTTTTCTTGATTATATACTGATCATTGTCAGTTGTTTGCGGTCGCTTTGTGAACTGGATCCCATTTCTCTTTCCTCCACTCTATGGACAAGGTTGCCAATTTCAGTGTGGCTTTTTTTATTTAGGGTGAACACAGTTTGTCAAAAAGATGCGTCTCGTGTGAAATGTGGTCTTCAAGGGGTTATAGTTGTCCCACGTACTGATTTTGGTAACCTTGACCTGACATCCTTATTTCATCTCAAGAGCCGTCTCTCCTTGGCCATCGATTTCTTCGTGAGACTTCTTCCCTCTGGGCTTCCAGAATAACAGGACACTTTGTAACGTTTGTATTTTGCAAGGATTAGCGGCACGACTGTCTTCTCTCTCCCAAATTACACTTTATATGTGCAAATGCAACTTGTTATTGCACTTATGTACACCTTGATCATCAAATTAAAGGGTTTATATTTTTAGTTGTAATGTGTCAATAAGCTATCTTTTTCACACCGAGGCGGGATGCTCCCATGGTGTAATGGGTACTACACAATGCACTTGCAGTTTAGAGGTCGCCGGTTCGATTGCCATCTCCCAGCAATGCATTTTGAATAATGGTGCAAGTTTCTAAAATCGCTTCAGCCTCTTTCCACCCAGCGGTGTAATGGGTACTCCACAGTTAGTTGATTGCAGGTTGCAGAGCTGCAGTTGAAACAAACAATGCAGACATTTTATTAAAGCCCCCCCAAAACACCTCTTTTCACCCAGAAAGATAACTGTTAGATGACGTGTGGATGGGGCAAAGAGCATATACTTTCAAGACCTCTGGCCAGTTTGGAAGAGTAGACCAAAAGGACCTTTCGGAGGACTCTCAGGAGCTTCCTCCAGTCGAAGTTGTCCCGCCTGCATTGGCCCAAGGAATAAATTGCAGCGCTGCACCTTTCAGGTTAAGTCCTCATTGTGACGCTGATTAAGTGTTACGTGTGTGTGTGTGTGCGCTCGCGTGCATCGATTCAGATTGAGATGTACGTGTGCCTGGTGTGCGGACGCGGGGACGAGGAGGACAAGCTGCTGCTGTGCGACGGCTGTGATGACAGCTACCACACCTTCTGCCTCATCCCACCGCTGCAGGACGTGCCCAAGGGTGACTGGCGCTGCCCCAAGTGTGTGGCCGAGGTGTGGTCCCCCACGCATGGGCTTGTACCTAAAGCACGAGCCGTACGACCATAGGGATACCTGGTGCAGCAGGGAAAGAAAAAAAACACCCAACAGTGTTTTGTGTAAATGCTTACCCCGAGCTCTCGTACTCTGATGGTGCATTGTCTTTGAGTTGTGCGCCTTTTGGCGTCATCTGGTCCAACCCATGTGAGACGAGGCTCTAAGGAAAGCTGTCTCGGGTGTGGACCAATCAACTTCAAGGACAGTGCATACAGAGTTATGTTTTTTGTTTGCATTATGACTGCAGGTATTGTGGTCTATGCAAACATGACTCCTTGTAAAAAAGGTGTCGGTTTTGTTGCCATATAGAAGAGTAAAAAAACAATTATCAGTGTTTTTTGTATTTCGTGATATCGCATGCTAGTATCGTCATAATTGACCAACAATTTGTCAATTAGACAACTTTACAAGGATCTGCAGTCTCAAGAGGCAGCCTCTTCGCTGTGGGAGAGACTACCACTTGCGCATATGGTGATTTACAGCTACAATGGCACACACGAGTCGTGATACTGTCGGCAGCGTCATCTTTGTTCACGAAGAACAACAACAACAACCGCCATTCCCCACCGAGTGACGGTGACATCACCACGGCGCTTGTGCCAGGTTGTGTACTTTTAAGGCCATGTGAAGGACAGGGACAACATTAACACGCACTGAGATCTCATCAACAAATGAAAACCATTTAACATGTAGAGTGCGAGCATTTGTGTATAGTTCTTACATTAGAAAAAGTGCTATTCATGTTAGAGGTGCAATGGGTAGGAGCCTTCGAAAAAAACACTTAGAATGTACCTGCTGTCATCAGGTCTGAGAAGGTAAGCAGAAATAAGTGCTTGGATGGGTGACCACCATGCACAGTAAGTTATAATATACACTCGCAGGGTTTCCCATTACAGATTTGACCATTCATGCAAAAAAAATGAAGGAGTAGTTCGCTTATCTCAACCATTCGTGATTAGCGGCGAGGTTCCTGTACGGTATGCATCATGAAGTATAGTACCTTACTATAATTACACTCTGCTCACGATGATGCCGCCACAGAAGAATACGCATGCCATCATCATCCATAGTAAGTCATTGTATTTTTTTAACTGCATATATATATACTGGAAATGTCATTAACCGTATCTTTATTTTCAGGTTTACTTTTATGTGTCCAGTACAATAAAAATGTGTTTAAATATTTACATTGAACATGCAGTTATATTTAACACTAGAAAATATTAATTATATTTTAGGTAAAAAATATTCCCTGTTTCGTGTTTCGGTGAACGTAGGGGGACAAAACGAAAGGAGGGGGTGCCACATTACGAACCGTGAACCAAGCCATATTTTCGCCACGTGCCTTTGAGCTTGCAGGTCGTGAATTTGCCGAGTGCGACTATTTTCAGGAACGTTACCCCCATGATCGGCAAGGTTTTGGTGTGCATATATATAAGATATATGCACCATAGTTATGACGAAGAGCAATTGCCGAAAAGTCACCTATTATGTATACAGTAAATCCTTGGATTGCGAGTAACTTGGACTGCGAGTGTTTTACAAGACGAGCAAAATGTTTAAATAAATATGAATTTGATAAATGAGCGAGGTCTTGCAACGAGCAGTACGTGATCACGCTTTGTCTTCCGAGCGTCACATGATCACAACTGATATACGAGTGCTTTGATATACAAGTGCTTTGGATTAAAAACATGTTTCCGGAACGAATTATGCTCGCAATCCAAGGTTTTACTGTGTCTCTAGTTTTCATTTTTTTCCCAGTGTTATTTACGAATGCGTTGCGTTCATTGATGTGTTCCTGTATTATTACATGTGACCCCTTTTTGTGCTGCCCAACACCGGTCACAGACTAATACCCTCCCCGACGCGTGAATCTGATCGGCTCGCAGGAGTGCAGCAAACCCCAGGAGGCGTTTGGCTTTGAGCAGGCCACCAAGGAGTACACTCTGCAGACCTTCGGAGAGATGGCAGATGCCTTCAAGTCAGACTATTTCAGCATGCCCGTGCACGTACGTACCTGACCCTCGTAATCCGCACATTGCACGATATTTGGCTTCTGCTGTGGGTCAGGAGCTTTACAAAAATAATTAAGGCAACGCTTCCTCGCACTTCATATTTACGTGCTGTATTTGCGCTTCTTTTTGTACGTCTAAATATGGGGTGATGAATAATGGAAGCTTATGACCACATCACCTGGAACGTGTGCCCGATCTCATCAGATCTTGGGAGCTAAGCAGGCCTAAGCCTGGATAGTGATAGGATGGATGCCTACCATGCACACAACAAGTGTTGTTGATTGCTTTGTGGCTACATTGTGGGCAGCAGAGGGCAGTACAGCAAAACACGTTGTACAGTACTTTTGGCCAACATCTGTGCTCCCCACCATCAATCTGCACTGACCAAATTTGCTAATTATGGTCAGATAACCCCTACAATCTTTATGGTGTAGGAAAGCCCTCGCCATGAGTGGGGATTGAGTGCTGTACATGAGCAGTGACACTTTATACACACGTGTATTGATAAACACTTAGGAGATTGACTGCGGGAAGGTAATAGTGCTCGAGTGTGAGACTGCTAGCATTTGCAAGCATTCTGTAACGCTTCCCAAAATGCGTTTGTCCTAGAAATTATTTAATTGCAGACAATGATGTTCTGTTCCAATCCACACGAATGAGATGATATCACGCGACGCGTGACTTGCGGAGTTGACGTCATGCATGATGATGTCATCCGGAAGGGTGAGGGGAAGTGCGTGGGTTTCCGCTGCCAGGGTGCAATTGCCGAGGCGAATCGTTTTAGCACCGGTTTTGCCTTCAAGTATTGGGCAACGCTTTGATCAATGTGGCCAGTTTTATAAAGGGTGAGTCTCTTAATAGCCACAGAACTTTACTCGAGTTTCTTGGTTCTTTCGGTAAAGTTACGTACAAGAGAAATAATAAAATAATACAAATTAAACATAATAAGATACAATTCTCACGACGTTTCGGCCACAACGCAAGCAGCCGTCCTCAGGTAAAGAACAGGGCTGCCGACAGCTCTGTTCTTCTACGTGACTTTACCGAAAGAACCAAGAATATGAATCCATGCAGTCACGAAAGCTTTAAATGAAAACTTTGCTCGAGTTTCTTTCATATCGGATCATCTTGGTGAGTGTTTTTACACCCATCCGTTTTAAAACCGACAGACAGATGGACAAGGGACCTACCTGGATTGAAAAGCATAAAACGGGAACAAACAATGACACCTGTGCACGTTGGCTTGTACAACTGTCGCCGGGTTCACCCGACTGGAATCAGATGGTGCCCCCTGAGCTGGTGGAGAAAGAGTTCTGGCGGCTGGTCAGCACCATCGAGGAGGACGTGACGGTGGAGTACGGTGCCGACATCCACTCGGGCGAGTTTGGCAGCGGCTTTCCCGTGCGCGGAACCCGGCGGAAACTCACGCCAGAGGAGGAGGTAAGTGGCTGGCAGTCAACCTCGGTTGAAAGCGCACTCTCACCCGCAGACTTCACGGCAGACCTCCGATTAGCACGGTTGGCTACGTACGGTGTGAAAAGTTCAACACGCACACGTGTTGGTGAAGGAGATGTCTGCACTGCCGCAACTGATGCGAGCCGTGGCCAGGGAAATCAGGCCCAGGTCGCTGGGTTTAGAGCACAGTGCGCTAACCACTGCACCTAGTTTTACTATATTTTTATTTTACCCGTTAAGGCCAATTTTAGCTGTATAGCTCTTTTTCAGAAGCAACCAAGCCACACCATGATAGCTCAACGATGTGGCTTGCCATGTGTAAATGTGTAAATGTATAAGCAGCCAAGTTCAACATACATACATCTCCCGCTTCGCAAAATATACACTGTTGAGGCAATCGCTGCAGCCTGTTAAGGCTGGAATGACATAGGACATTGTAGTGGGGTGAGCATCACATGCAGAATGTCTACCTCCTGCAAATTTTTGGTCAAGGGAAAACCCAAGTCAGGCTCAGAAACACTTGATTCATGACCAGGATTCCAACTCGGCAGGCTAGGATTTTAGCATGGAGCAGAACAACGCTGTTCTTAAGATTAAAGGTGTAGCTCGATCCGTGAGGCTCAAATTCTTGAATTCACCATATAATGTTCGTTGGTTTACTTAGTGTCGCATTGATGCTTGATGTGGAATATTTTCATGTGTAAATGTACGTAACCAACGTCTTTGCATTTTGGCGAAGGAATATGCACGTGCTGGCTGGAACCTCAACAACATGCCAGTGCTGGCTGAGTCGGTCCTGGCGCAAATCAACGCCGACATCTCGGGCATGAAGGTGCCCTGGCTGTACGTGGGCATGTGCTTCTCTGCCTTCTGCTGGCATATTGAGGACCACTGGAGCTACTCCATCAACTACCTGCACTGGTCAGTACAGCGCATTGGGGCACCGCGGTGGTGAGATGTTAACTACCTCGACTGGTATGCAGGAGGTCATGGGTTCGATCCTGACCCTGACGCTGATATGTTTGGAGTTTGAATATTCTCCCTGCGGTCATGTGGATTTGTCTCCGGGTCCTCTGGTTTTTTCCCTCCATATTTAGAAACATGCGTTTATAGTATTTGGCTGCTATAAATTTCCACATTGAAAAACAACTTCATTGAGCTATCATTTGTGGCCAGTTCGCTTCTGAAAAATAGCTATGTAGCTCAAGTGGGTCTTACCTGGTGAAATAAAAATGGATTAGATTAGTTTTAGTTTGACATTGACATCGCGAAGAATGTGGCTTGAATTGAAAGACTTGCTTCCTCATGCCTACATACGGAATATCCATTTTAATTAATCATGCTGGGTTTAGTTACCTCATTGCTGGGATATGAAAGAAATTCTCATGACAACTTTGTAGGGTACATTTAATTGTATAACAGGGTTGAGTTTCAGATTTAAAAACAATCATGTCAGATCAAAGACAATTTCGTATCATTTTCAGATAATTTGCGGTACGTACACATTTAAATCTTCTTCGTGGGAATAATTACGGCATCACGCAATGCCACGTGAGACCACTTATGGCAGGAAAATTGCAGCAGAAGTGACGACATTTTAGAGACGTGACTTTAGGCTTTCAGATAAATCCAAAGCTAAAAACTCATATCACCAAAATTTGTATATCTTGGCCTGGTTTTCACATTGGTTCGATTAATCCAAAAATCGTGGACTCATCCCTCCTGCGTAGTTCTGTACACTAAATTCATAGACGTGTCACATACATTACAATTCCCATTCTCCCTTCAGTCTGATAGTCCTGAAAAATGAGCACGCCTCATAAATAATTAATAGGCTGGACTGCGTGACATGTTATATGGAAGCGCACTGCTGTGCGTCTACATGTTGCTACTAAACATCTCTGAACTACTGGACATCTGTGAAAAGAGCTTTATAGCTCATCGGATTCCTCCACTATAAATAAATATTCTGATTATGCAGGGGTGAGCCCAAGACGTGGTACGGCGTTCCTGCTCACGCGGCCGAAAGTCTCGAGGAGGTAATGAAGAAGCTGGCGCCGGAGCTGTTCGAGGCGCAGCCGGACCTGCTTCACCAGCTCGTCACCATCATGAACCCCAACCTGCTCATGGCCCACGGCGTTCCCGTACGCACTGCGCACGCACCCACCCACTGGCGCGCGGGCACACGGCTTTACAGAGAGACGCAGAACTGGATTTGAAGCTTTCGTGACTGCAAGGATTCATATTTTTGGGTTTTTTCGGTAAAGTCACGTGATACAGCGAGTGTGCTGTGACGGTTCCACCTGAAGACGGAGGCTTGTGTTGCCTCCGAAACGTCGTGATCTTTATCTTATTTTAATTTTTTACTTGCGTGACTTTACCGAAAAACCCAAAAATAAGACGCAGGACTGTTGTGAACCCTCGGAGATGGACATCTCGGCCTCCACAAGTTGATGTAATTTTTTTACGAAAATTAGTAGAACTAATATGTTTTTTTGTGTGGTAGAGGTGTAAAAGCAACAATTTGAAACGTGTTTATAATAGTGTTTTTTCAACCAATCCAAGGAGGCAATAGACGCTGTATGGATCACAGCGCCCCTGTCAGGATGTACGTGGATGGCACATTTGTTTGATGGTTTGTACTTTACCGCAGTTTAAATTTTTCCAAGTCTCGGACCTTCTATTTGTGGCAGGTATATGTCCATCTCCCAGTTATCCGCATGTTGTCAAGTGGCCTCCTTTGTTTGAGACTGCACATGGGCGTGCCGGAGCTGCTTGCACATCATGGCACGTAGGAACATCTACCACGGAGGAGTCACATTGGCTCGACTGCAGCAGGGCACTGAAGTGGTCGAGATGAGATGCGATGTAAGACACTTTGAAATTGCCGAGGCATTTGAGTGCCACGTAAATGCAGATCATCGTGATCTCTCGTGGTTGACTCTCCGCGTGTTTTGTTAGACCACCTCGGCTTGGTTTCACTGTCGCTTGTCTCCGCAGGTGGTGAGAACGAATCAGTGCGCCGGCGAGTTCGTCATCACGTTCCCGCGCTCGTACCACAGCGGATTCAATCAGGGCTACAACTTCGCTGAAGCGGTCAACTTTTGTACCGCTGACTGGGTACGTTATGTTTTTACTTTACATTTTTAAAAATGTATTCTTATATTTTTTTCCAGCAATGTACACTCATTGCCCTGCACACATCTTATCCATATTCTTTGGGTCTTTCGATAAACGCACACGTAGATAGAAAAATTATGAAAAAATAAATAATGAAATAGAATGAATAGGATAAATAAATAAGATAAAATATCACAACCACATTGTTTTAAACCTTCAATGCTAACTCAAGACCTTAATTTAAAATATGGCTACAAACCTGGATCTATAGCTAGATATTGATTACTGAGCTGGCTCCAGCAATTGCTATATATAATATTGTTTATTCATGTTTTTTCATGAATGTATGCTACCATCGTGTATAATGGTTAGCACAATGGACGTGCAATACAAAGCTTGCCGGTTAGATTTCTTTTCAAGGTACGGTAGTTGGAACAACGGGCAAGGCTCTTTTTATAAATTTTTAAATGAACTGGATCCCCCATACACCAAATATGCAGTCAGTGCTGTCGCGATGGCAGGGCACTCATTAATTAAATGTATTTTTTTTAGTAAAAACTCACCCGCACTAAAGAGAGCATCGCAATACTTTACAGTATAAATTAAACATAGGTTCTCCTACCTATAAAATCAAGACGCATATAAAAAATGTCAAAATGAGAGGACATATTCAAGGAAAAGCTGAAAGGACAAAATGAATCTTGCAGAGTTTTCCGAACTGTTCGGTGCTCGGAGCCAACGTGAGGGCCAGTGGAAGAGAGTTCCAGGTCTTACGCACCACACTCGAGAAGCCCTACCACCCAGCGGAGAATGAAACATTCGAGGTTGTGCTAACAGTGCCTGACCTGGGGAGCGCAAGGTATACAGGTAGTCCTCTACTTACGATGGAGATGCGTTACGACGACCCCATCGTAAGTCAAAAATATCGTAAGTCGAAGATGGCCTAGCCTACCCAGGAGTCTTAAAGAATGGTGATAACTTAGCAAAATAGAGCAATTTACAGTACTGTCCTGTATAAACTATATACTGTATATATTTATTAATTACAATACTGTATTGCACAGTATGATGTAAAGTAAAAAAAACAAGGTAAATTCTTAGCCTACCTATGTGAACTGCAATTTAATAGAAAGTTTTTCAGGAAACAATCCTATCTGCATCACACAAGGCGGGAGATGAGTACATCCCGGCAGCGTCCCAACGTACAGCATCGTACCTCGTACGCTGCTGGGTTTGCCTGCCGCGCGAAATAAAAAATATTTTACAATTTTCTTGTATCGCTATCGTAAGATCGAAATATCGTAAGTCGGACCATCGTAACTCGGCGACTATCTGTTTATTGCACTTGTGATTTCTGTTCACCAGCGTGAAAGAGTAGGCCAAAATACCCTCTGTAGAGGAACTCTTAGAACCCCATCTGTTTGTAGGCCCTTGCGCTAATAGTGGCAGAAGAAACTATTTGCAGGGCTGCAACTTTAGCTGTTCACGTTTCAATTAACCACACAGGGTGTGTCCCGCCGGTCGGTGTGTTTTTAATGACGTGTGCGCTTTCCTTGAGCTTTTGAATACAACTGCTGCGCACGCTCTCGCGTGTGTTCCCGTGGCAGCTGCCGACGGGGCGGCAGTGCGTGGAGCACTACCGCCGGCTGCACCGCTACTGCGTCTTCTCGCACGATGAGCTCATCTGCAAGATGGCGGCGGAGCCCGACGGGCTGGACCTCCCGATGGCCGCGTCCGTGCACAGGGACATGACGGTCATGATGGAGGAGGAGAGGCGGTTACGCAAGTCCGTGGAGCAGAGGGTATGCTTTTGCCGACAGGCACTGTCTACGAACAAAGCCACGCACTTTGACGACTGACCGCCCCCGCCCCACAAAGACAAAGATTCCCCCCCCCCCATAGCCTTAACAGACTGTTGGGGCAAGTGCTGGTAGCGGGTATCAGGCCGGCACGGCGCACGAGGGGGTGGGTGGCCAGCACCACGCCCGGCCACCTTTTTTCTCCCCAGTGGCGATGTTTACACATTGCACGAGGATCTCATTTGAGGCTGAATCGACCTGGGGGATTCCCTGGACCGGTACAGACAATCGTCACTGGTGTTGGCCGTGAGCGGGAATCGAACACGGTGCAGCGTGCTAACCGGTACACTGCCGCGCTGGTCACACGCACGCACATGTCGCAAATCATTCGTTATTCTTTGCGCTGCAAGGTGATGAGCAATGCAGAAAATAAGGTGATTGTCGACCTCGGGGAGGCCCACGACCGGTTCAGATAATCGTCACTGGTGTTGTCCGTGAACGGGAATTGAACTCTGACCACTGGGTTCGGAGCGCAACGCGCTACCCACTACCACCACACTGCTCACCACTTTTTACAACTGACCACCACCCCCCCCGACCTCATGCTCACCACCCCGCCCCACCAGCCACCAGCCACCAGCCACTGAGGTCCTTTGTATCACATCTGATTTTCCATCTGTGGTTGAACACAGGTTTTCAAGTGGTAGTGAGTTAATGCTTTCAGCCGGTCACAAAAGGACTGCTCAAAATTATCGCAATTTCATGAAATTAGATTCTTTACTTAAGTTTTGCAAAAGTGCAGCTGTGACAATTGAACTATTGGTTTGTTACTCTCCTATGCAAAGTGCAGTGGGGGGAATGTCCTGCCCTTTGCAAACATGTTATCACGTGAAATTGGGAATTTCACTTTCTTTTGTTACATTTCAGCTCTGAGAGTTAATATATTGGTTTTGACTGCTGTGGGATGAACATTTCTCTATATCGGGGGGGGGGGGGGGGGTTGCGGGCGGGGCTGTAATAACAGAGAGAAAAAGTTGTGAAATTTTTAAAGCTATTCTGCAAAATCTCATGCGGGCAGTTCGCCATCAGAGGGATTCCACTGCTCTGTGGGCATTTCAATGGATGTTTTGTCCCTTGATGTGAAGCTGATGGGGCGATTGAAATAAATTTGGGTAAAGACAAATAGCAACAAACACCAGAAACGCACAACTTACACAAATGTCAGCTCAAGTGGCATTTGATATGCCGCTCGCAAAAGTCAAAGCATTATTAAAGCAAATGTGACTCTTGAGCATTAATTACACAAAAAGTGATAGCAACCCTAAGAGTGACAATATTGTTCTGGTATTTTTGTTTCCATATAATTTCTATCACAAAGTTAATGTGACAATGCAATACATATTTGTAAGCCTCATTTTCTGATTGCCGAATTAAATATAAAGAAGAGTATGCAATGCTTAACCTGTGGTAGAGTGTATTTACCCACATCATTTAATGTATTCTTCCCCACTTGATTTTCCGTACACACTCGAGCTAGAGTTAAGCAACGTTAAATAACAACTGTAAGCGCTAAGACTTGTCTGTATGCTGAACTTCTTTCGCACTGTACGTAGCCGACCGCGCTTATCGGGGGTGCGGGAATGCTTGCTCGACCACCTCACTTTTACGCTCCAGCCGTTGGCGCGACAATTAACCCGATGTGCTGCTCCGTGGTGGCGCAGGGCACGTGCGATTCCGAGCGGGAGGCATTCGAGCTAATTCCCGACGACGAGCGGCAGTGCGACTTCTGCAAGACCACGTGCTTCCTGTCGGCGCTCACATGCTCCTGCAGCCCTACCCGCCTGGTGTGCCTTCATCACGCCGACGACCTGTGTCGCTGTCCGCCCCAGCGTCAGTGCCTACGGTACGCACGTAATCACGCACACGCGCGCATTCTTTCGCTCGTGACCATCTCTTCATGAAAGATTTTATTTCTACAGTTGTTTCAATGTCGAACTTCTTTTGCACCATACGCAGCCAACCGTGCTCATCGGAGGTGCGATCTGGAGGTGTGTTGTAAGCTGCGTCTCCTGCACGCGAAGCATTGCGATCTCACGATGAGTCTCGTTGAGTGTTGTTTTTTTTCTCTTCTCCACGCGGAGGATTTGGTGTCACCCGGAGTTGTGGGTGAGCAGCAGCGGCAGCGCCGCGTGTGAGCGCCTTGACGGAGGTTTTTACCCTGGCAGGTACCGCTACACCATGGAGGAGCTGCCCGACATGCTGGCCAAGCTGAAGGCGCGAGCCGACTGCTTTGACGACTGGGTGTCCCGCGTGAGGGCAGCGCTCCAGCCTGATGGCGACGACAACAAGAGAGGTGAGGTTTCTTGGTTCTTTCGGTAAAGTCACGTAGAAGGGAAATAATAAAATAATACAACATAATAAGATAATTCTCCCGACGTTTTGGCCACAACGCAAGCAGCCGTCCTCAGGTGAAGACCAGGTCTGTCGGGGAGACAGTGTCTGAATGAAACACCACCACGCTTGGAGCGTATATTTAAGTTGGGTTGGAAGGGAAGAGCGCCTTGACAAAATAATTTGCATATCAAGAGGAATTTTGCATATTTATGGGAAATGCTGATATGTGATTAGTACTACTTGTGAAATGCATAGGAGGTGGGCGGGGGGTTTCAAAGTCATATTATTTAAGAGAGGTGAGGTTTCTCTCGAACCGTTTTCAAATATGGGACCCGAACTGATGTTTCTTAGATGAGCGTTTTCATGCTGTCTGATATGCCATCGTGTGTTCCTACGTGGGTGACAAAAGTCATGCTATTTATATATCAGGAAAATAAATGTGGTTAGTCCTCGCTTAACGCGTGGTGTCCGCACTACAACGCGTTTTCGCTAAAATGCGGGTCAACCATTAGGGAACACTTTTCGCACAACACAGAACACGCCAATTAGAATGCGGAACGTGCACCATCAGAACGTGGAATGCGCACCGTTATAATGCAGTTTCTGAGCGGCCGACGAAGATCTACTTTCTTGAGCTGTCACGCGGTGGCATATCCCGAGTTAGTTATGTCTGGCCATCTTATTGTGTGTGCCTACATCGTATATCGCCAGACTTTATTGTTACATTATTAATGGGGAGATTGTTTTCGCTGAACGTGTTTTTCACTTTTGATTGACGCGTCGACCGCGTTAAACGAATTGCTGTACTTTCATGGCATTATTATATAGCGGTTTTGGTGATGCATTCTGTCCCAGAGAGTGGCTTTGCATCTCCGCAGAGTGGCATCTCGAAAGGTTAGCTTGTAGAGGGAGAAATCGAGTGGTTTTGTAACTGGATAATTGTGCAGCCATATCAATGCAGCAACAATGCCAATGCCCCGCCCATGCTCCTGGTGCTGCTGATTCACTTGGGCTATGCCCATCCCCAAACCTTTATAAACAATTTGCCTTTAGAGGCTAACCACTTTTCCTGATGACGACCACTTGTGTTGCGATCGAAACGTCGTGATATTTTTATTCACTTCGTTTTTTTTTTTCTATCTACGTGACTTTACCGAAGGAACTAAAGAATATGAATTCCTGCACTCACGAAAGTTTTAAGTCAAAATGTAGGTTTTTACAGCCAATATTATTATCTAACCTTCTTGTCAAACCTTCCACTGCCCGACATAACCGGATCAGGTGACACGGTTATGCTGACTTCATAGAATTTATTCTGACTTTCTGGTTTTCCCTGACGCATCTTGGCATGGTTTCAAGCGAAAACGTCATGTCCAATTGCTTAATTTGCTCGTGAGAATGCGTTGGACATCTCTGAAAAAGAGCTTTATAGCTTATCGGATTCCTCCAATATAAATAAATATTCTGATTCTCAACTTACGCCTAAACAAAAAGGCTATTCTTGGCGCGTTAAACGCTTGTATGCGTTTCATGCTTGCTGCTGTTCAATATGCGTTTCACTGCTCCCGTGTCCCGACAGAGCTGGCCGAGCTGAAGGCGTTGGTGTGCGAGTCACGCGAAAAGCGGTTCCGCGACACGGAGCTGCTGCAGCAGCTCTCCGCCGCCATCCGGGAGGCGGAGAAGTGCGCGGGCGTCGCTCAGCAGCTGCTGACGCGCAAGCCCCGTACCAGGCAAGTGCCCCAGCGCTCGCGTTTAACGACACGTGATGTTCGCCTGCTTGCCCTCGCGCTGAATCGGACCCATGCCAAACGTCGGGGTCCCCGGTTTGCAGAACGTGCATTCGCTCGGTGCACTCGCCGTAAAGCTGGGTCCACACCTGAGCAACCGGTTACACACCCAGGTTACATGCAACACGGTAGCTTTTATGTTGGACGTCTGTGCAACGAAGTTGTGAGCAGCTGCACAACCAGTTGCTTACACGAGAGGCAGACTCGAATTTAAAGCATCGATCTGTTTTGCGACTTGTAGCAATGTATTTCATCACCTGCACATTTTCAAACTGATTAGTTGTTGTGCTGCTTCATTAACTTGTTGAGAAATGTGGACAAAACAGTTTATGGCGATTTGCGCTATTTGTTTGCACACCTTATTGCTGTGGACCTGGCAATAGATACGATGCGCATACTATTTGCATTCAGATCATTAAACAAATTTCGTGTAATCTACTTGCATTAAAAGCATGTGCGGTGCATGCTTGTGTGGGCTGCTATGTGTTTAGGCTGCGTTCGGAAGCAAAGGTGCAGACACAGCTCACCGTGGAGGAGCTGCAGGCTTTCGTCGATCAGCTGTGCAGTCTTCCGTGCATCGTCACGCAGGCCAAGCAGGTTAAGGTAATTGTATGGGGCAAACAACTGTACCTATGTGTGCATAGACACAGACGTGTTTGTTATTCAATCTGAGAAAAAAAAATTACCCTATTTGCCTTCGATTCACCAACTACAAACGACCGTCTTGCTCTCGCTTGGAGCGCAGGATCTGCTGAACCGCGTGGAGAAGTTCCGCTCTGAGGCACGGGACGCCCTGGTGGAGCCGAGCCCGGACGCCGACAAGCTCGAGCGCCTCCTGGAGGAGTGCTCGGGCCTCGACGTTGAGCTGTCGGAGGCGCCGCGGCTGCGGCTGGCGCTGCAGCAGGCTCGCTGGCTGGCCCAGGTGCGGCGGGCCCTGTCCGCGCCCGAGCGGCCCACGCTGGGCCAGATGCGCAAGCTGATCGACTGCGGCGTGGGGCTGCCACCCCACCCGGCCGTCGAGAGGGCCATGGCCAGGCTGCAGGAGCTGCTAACCGTCTCCGAGCGCTGGGAAGAGAAGGCTAAGCTCTGCCTGCAGGCTCGGTGCGTGCCTGGGCGCGGTGCTCGGTGCAAGCGATTGATCCTTTTACCACCGATCATACTTTGTGTTTCGAAGCAATGGTGGATGCTGGTGTAGAATGATGGCATCTGCCGAGAAGGTGGAGCAGTCAAATGCGTTTTTACGCAGGAGGTGCTCGTTTGTGGAATTGGCATAGTCGTGAGAGGCGTTCATCCAGCAGTCGATTGATCGTCGTGGCTGATGGTGTAACGTAACATCTCGGTGTGGTTTTGTTGTAGCCTGCGGCATCCCGAAGGACAGCTCGTCCATGTCTGCGCGCGGTCGCTGGTGTAGCCGTGCTGTGTACGATGGCGTACGCGTATTAAGTACTTTTCTAAAGTCTTAATTCACAAAATGTCCTAAAAAGCATCGTTAATTTACTTGTGTATAATCATGTTTATCCTTGGTTTAGAGGCAGAGGAGAATCCAATTATGCGTGAACACTGTGAACATTTAATGGGTGCAACATGTTCCGTGTAATGACAATCTATAACATAAAAATCTTATTTATTTTAATGTTATATGTCAGGTTTAACTAAAAGCAGCTGGTTCGATTGTCGTTATTGATGTTAGAGCCATGTACATTAAATTGTTATTAAAACAAAGCCTTGTATATTGTGGTAGGTTTAAGCAAATTGTCTTTGTTTCATATTTTACTGCATAAAAAGGTACTATTTTATATGCAGATTGTTCACACTACACAATCTTATTTGATTCGGTATTTGTGGTTGTGGATTCTCTATGAAAGGACTTTTGTGCTATGAATGATTAAAACATGTTAATTTCTTTGTTGAAATATTATGTTCGTGCAACGTTTTGCAATTTCTTCTGCAATGCGATTATTTTTTGCTCTGATTTCTAATGAGCATCATTGCTTTTTAACACGTAGGCTTTCGCGACCAATGTTATTCATAATCAACGTTTTTGGGTTTAGATCGCGTTTATTTATAAATGTGTCGTAACCCTCCACCACCCGACACGGCCAATCAGTAAAAATGTGTCACGTTGACAAATAGTTCACTGCTTTAGCCCACCGGTGTGTTGAATTGTAAATTGTAAATGTTGTGGCTTCAACACACCGGTGGGCTAAAGCAGTGAACTATTTGTCATTGTCAACGTGACACATTTTTACTGATTGGCCGTGTCGGGTGGTGGAGGGTTACGACACATTTATAAATAAACGCGATCTAAACCCAAAAACGTTGATTATGAAGATCATTGCTTTTATCATTTTGGTGACCAGGTAAGTCATCTTGCACAAGACGTTGTGTCGAGTTCTCACCCGGTTAAACAAAATAAACTTGAAATCTAACTCTTTCTTCACCCGGCATTTGCAATCCTGTGACATTTCCAGACCTCGGCATTCATTGGCAACGCTAGAGGCGATCGTGCAGGAGGCAGAGAACATCCCTGCTTACCTGCCCAACATCCTGGCCCTGCAGGACGCCTTGCGACGTGCCAAGGAGTGGTCTGCTCGCGTCCAAGCAATCCAGGTGCGTCTCTATGCAACAGCAGTCACTATATTAACTCTCTCCCTACCGACTCTTTCAAATACACCTGCAGATTACAGTTGCACTTTGGACTTACATATTGGATGTAAGGGACCTAGCTGATCGTAATTAGGTCGTAATTATAATATATATTGGGACACACACACACACCCCCCCCCCAATATTAAAATATGCTCAAAATGTCCCCCCCCAATATATTGCTAATTAAAAAAGTTATTGCTATGCGATGTAAATAAAAACAATTTGCTTAACCTTGGCCACAATATCTGGACTTGTTTTCATGTCAATCAATGCATAGAGTTCTGTTTATATGATTGTGATTATGGTTTTACTTTATTAATCCCTAATCTCTGCGATTACATAAAATGAAACAGGAAATTATTTAAAAAAAAGTTAAAACCGAGTAATGTAATACAATACACTATTAGACATTGTAAAAAATAAATAAAAGTCATTCCATGTGTTAGTGAATTTTTGTTAAATATTTCAGGCAGGAAATTAGTTTTCAGATTTAGATATTTTTCTGGGTTGGGACTCCCATACCCCCTGGAAGATTTGGTCCCCCCCCCCCCAATGTTGACTCCATGGCTACGGCCTTGTGATGCACTCTTGGAATTACATTGAGAGACCGAAATTGGAACACTTGCAACACACTCAAGTTAATGACGCGCTACAAAATGTTGGGAAACGTTAGTTGGCTCGGAAGGGACACACTTCTCTTGAAGGGTTTGTGACAGCCGATGGTCAAGAATTACAACGGGATTGGCCATCAATGAATCGAACACATTCAAGAAGACGTCCACCCAGGTAATGGAACGATGAAATTGGTTGATGTACAGGTGCCATGGTTGTTGTTATATTGGAGGACCATGTGAGGGGTGGTGGATACTTTGGGAGGCCTTCATTTCGCAACATATTGACCCTGGCTAATGATGATGATAATGATTATAATAATAAAAACTATTTAATCTTAACTCTTTACATAAACTGCCAATTGTTTTGTATTGAGAGAGAGGCAGTCGTAGGCAGAAGAACAAGGGAAGGTCCTGAGCCTGGACTTAAATAGAAGCAATGAGTCTACAGCACGGGTGGCTGGGGAGCGAATCCCAAACCTTGGGGGCAGCGGAGGGGAATGAGCGACCTCCTGCTGATCAAAGGTTGACTGAGGGCTTTGACAAAAACGCCTTGGTGGCTGTTGCGGAGAAGTGTATGGAGTGGAGTAGAGTGAGATGAAAGGGGAAAGGTAGACTGGGACAAGTCCGTGAAGGATAACGAATGTTGTATGTTGAACTTCTTTTGCACCGTACATACCCAACCGTGCGAATCGGAGGTGCAATTTAGGCCGGTCAGTTTGATTGTTGCACTCGCAAGGGGTGATCGCAAGTCCCTCCACTGACTTTAAATGCCCCTCCCCCTGTGCTCACCCCATCCTGCCGTGCCCGCCTCACCCAGGCCGGTGAGCACCTGCCGTACGTGTCGATGCTGGAGAAGCTGGCGGCGCGGGGCCGGCCCGTCCCCGTGCGGCTGGACTCGCTGGCGCGCATGGAGGCACAGGTGGCGGGGGCGCTGGCGTGGCGCGACCGCACCGCACGCACCTTCCTCAAGAAGAACTCGGCCTACACACTCCTCGAGGTTGTGCCACGCACTTACCCGTTGAGGCCCGTGTGTGTGTGTGCGTGTACATATGTGTATCGGGAGCCGTAGTGCAGCGGTTGGCGCACTACGCTACGAACCCGGTGACCCCACCTGCTCATGGCCAACACGAGTGATGATTATCTGAACTGGTCCTGGGCCTCTCTGAGGTTGACCCCTCGTCAAATGAGTACCTGGCACTGTGTGTAAACATCACCACTGGGGAGACAAAGGTGTGTTGCTGGCCACCCATCCCCTCGTGTACCGTGCCAGCCTTTATGGGTCCTCGCTAACAGCACTTGCCCCCCCCCCCAACAGTCTGTTAAGGCTATATGGGGGATATTTGTCTTTGTACATATATGTGCACACCCCTCTATTAATCCATTACTTTTAGATGTGTCTCGAGACCATCTGACGGCAAGTCTTCACTAAAGCGCAAGCACTTTAGTGATGTCACCGTTTCCTTGTGGCAAATGGCGGATGTTGCTGTCCCCTGTGTGTTGGGCCCGAGCACTCCTCTCTTGCACCGTGCACTGCATCTCACGTACTTTCAGATGCGCTTCTGCGGCCGTCTGGAACGCTGTTTCTTCCGATATTGGGAAGCCACTGGAGCTATTCACTTTTAAATCTAGATTGAAAACTAATTTCTTTATAACTGCTTTTTGTGTTTAGTTTGTTGTCCTTCCCCACACCTCTGATTATCACGCTTGGCTACGTACGGTGCGAAAGAAGTTCTCCATACATACGTATTTTAGAGCAGTACTTGCCCCAACAGCTTGTGTAGGTTGCTCAGGCAATCTGTCTTTATTGGTACATCATGTGCGCGTGTGTATTATTATTATATGGGGAGCGGTAGTGTAGCGGTTAGTGTGCTGCGCTATGAACCTGGCGATCCAATTTCGATTCCCGCTCATGGCCAACACCATCTGAACCGGTCCTGGGCCTTCCCTAGGTCGACTCGGCCTCAAATGAGTTTTTTGCACGGTGTATCAACATCGCCACCAGGGAAGCGAAGGCAGCCAGGCGTGGTGCTGGCCTCCCACCCCTGCATGCGCCGTGCTGGCCTTCATAGGTGCTCGCTAACAGCACTTGCTCCAACAGTCTGTTCAGGCTATACGGGGATTTTTTATTATGTACCTTTGAGCGTGGGTTTTTTTCCCAGAAGCTCTTTTGCATGAGATATACCGTCTCATGTGTATTTGTTTAGTCGATATTTTTTAACTAATAAAATGTGTTCACAGTTATGAGTCACCATTAGCTTTTACAGTTCATCGATCACTGTTTCTCTTGACATTTGTGCCCTTTGCTATCCTTCTGCAGTTGTAAATTAGCAGGCGCACATTAACAGGCAAAGCATAGTTCCTGACATTAGCACTGACAGCAATCACATGAAGGCATCTCCAGCACGTTACGCTGCAAAGACTAATGGAGAAATTGGCGACAGTGGAAATTGTGTGTTTTTATTTATTTATTTGTCGGTACCAGCGCTAAGGCATAATTGCTTCAGCTTGTTGTTGAATGCGTTTAACCTGCGTGCACTCGTCCATGTCGCACCATTGCACATCTTGAATCGGTGGTCTAGACAAGGCCGAGAGCACTGTACACCCAGTGCGGTGGTCGCGTGACGTGCATGCGAGGCATCATCTGCGTGTTGACCTTCTTTCGCACCGTACGTAGCCAACCGTGCTAATCGGAGATGCGGGGGAAGGACAAGAAACTAAACACAAAAAAGCGCCGTGGGAGTCCTGCCGTTTGTGAGCACGTATTTACGCATTGTGGTACATTGCTGCTCTTGCAGGTGCTGAGCCCGCGCGCTGACATCGGCATGTACAGCAGCAGCAAGACCAAGCGCAAGAAGCTGAAGGAGATTGCGTCGGAAAAGGAGAGCAGTGCCTCTGGGCTGGGCGACAGCCTGGACGATGACAGCGACGAGCCTGTGCACCCCGCTGCCATCGTGAGCCACCCTGCCCGCCCCGCCACCTTAAACATTTCCGAACCCCCACGTCGGCCCTCGATGGTTCTGTGGGACGGGAGCAGAAGCGCGATCGTTGCAAGTTGGCCGTCGTCGTTTCGTGTTGACGTCCATAATAAGAACATGAATTGGCACGAGTTTACATTAATTTAAGATGTTTTGTCTATTGGTTTTTGTGCATCATTGTGGTCTGTATGGTGATGTGCTGTTACTGTACATCCTAACACTGAGCACAGTAAGTTATGGCAGTTATTAATTGATGGTGCTTTCCTCAAATGCCTCTATGCATATCCACTTGTGTGGATAAACAAAATTGGAACAAAACTATTTAGTGCGTTTCAGTGTTCACGTTGCAATGAAGATGTCACAAGCCAAAGTAACACTTTTTTTTTTTATTACCGAGGCAAACATCTAATCGCCGAACCTCTGCTTGAGCGAATGTTTGCGCGACTACTGTCAGTGTCTTTATTTATCTTAATTTCTTATCATTCGCCGCAGTGGCGAGATGTTAACTTCCTTGTAGGAGGTCATGGGTTCAATTCAGACTCTGACGCCTTCATATTTGGAGTTTGCATGTTCTCTTGTGGTCGTTTGGATTGTTCTCCGAGTCCTCCGGTTTTTCCCTTCACATTTAGAATCGACATGCTTTTAGAGTATTTGGTTTCCATAAATTTACACGTGATAAGTCACTTCATTGGCCTTTCAGTTGTGGCCAGCTCGCTTCGAAAAAAATAACTACATAGCTCAGTGGGCCTTACCTAGTAAGTAAAAAAAAATGCACGTTGTGGTCTTTTACATGCTTCACCTGAGGGCTCGCGTTTGCGGCACCTGCCCCCCCCCCCTCAGGTCGCCTCGTTCAAGGAGTCCCAGAGGCGTGAGCTGGAGTCGATGCGGAAGCTCCGAGCCATCAACCAAGCCAAGCCCAGGCCGGGCTCCGGCGACCTCATGCCAGGATCGGCCTCGGTTTCTGGTGGCAGTGGCGGCGGCACGTGCCTGGCCGGCGTGCTCCCCTCGGCCGAGGAGTGCCGCTACTGCGTATGTCGGCGCGGTGCGCAGGGCTCCATGCTGCAATGCCAGCTGTGCCGCGACTGGTTTCACTCGACGTGCGTAGCCCTGCCGCGCCCCGTCAGCCTCAAGAAGGGCCAGGCCGGCGCTACGGGAGGCGGCGGTGGCGGCACGAACAGAGGAAGGGCCGGTGGCGGCGGCTTGGCCACGTCGGTTGCACTGTCCTCGTTGACAGCCGGTGCCGGCTTGTACGGCAGCGGCGCGGGTTTCATCGGCGGGGGTGTCGGGTCGGGCGTGGCCAGCGGTAGCGCTAACAGCGCGGGTGCCAAGGAGCCGCGCTTCCTGTGCCCGCTGTGCCAGCGCTCGCGCCGTCCACGCCTAGAGACGATCCTGGCGCTGCTGGTGGCGCTGCAGAAGCTGCCAGTGAGGCTTCCGGAGGGTGAAGCGCTCCAGTGTCTGACAGAGCACGCCATGGCTTGGCAGGTGAGCAAGGGGTTTGCTCATATTTATAGTAATAATAGCTATACTGTCTCTGTGTGCTGAAAAGTCTCGTTGAATCCCAGGGCTCTATTCAAACAGTTCTCCCTGGGATATTTGTCTGGCTTATAATGAAGTGTTTTTGCACGTGTGAAGAAAGAGTGCCTGAAAATGTAATTTACAAACTGCACACGGGTAGAACGTGAATCAAATAGGAATTCATTGAGTGTCGAGTAATGATGGCTTGATGAATTAATCATTTCATAATGATCCCACTTCGAGAGACAAGGTACTATAATTTAACAACTTTCATTTTATGATGCTTCATTTTACAGAACAGCTTGCACAGAGTACTAAAACTCAATTATAATTCTACTGGTGAGAGAGATGTTGATGAACATGATGATTGCGGTAATGACCACACATAGCATTTGCGTTCTTAGCAATGAACTTCCTCCTAATTGCATCACTTATTCTTGCAATACTGTTGAGTATTTTAAAGTATATTCTTCCTTGAGCTTGAATTCACTGGGCCGTGCACTTAAATGTACCGAACAGAAGAAAAAAACGCTGATCTTTTCCACTGGGTATTTTTCTGGAGTGATGGTTTATGGTTTGGCCATATACATCATCCCGCACGGACTGCTGCCAACAGTTTCATCCACAGCCAAGTCAAGGACCGTGCTGTGAAACACTCGTATAATCCCCACGTTGATGGCTTCGAACTATCTATAAACATTCTCCTAAAGATTGGCCATGACCGTAAATGCATGCTGTGTGGATTATAGATGCAGCAGTTTCCAACCAAACGTAGCACGGGTTTTCACAGCCGCTTTGTAAATTAAACTTTGGTTTTTTTTTGGTTGGGCCCAGTGTTGAGCATTTCCTGCTCAATTTTTGCCACACGCCGCTGCGTGCATCTTCAAGGCATCACATTTTAATTGATCTTCTGAAGAATTATTGGGAGAAGTATAGCTCAATAGGCAGCCAGGTCTGGAAAACTCACTCGGAACAACCTAATGCTTCATTGATTAAATCCCGATGAGTTCCAACATCATGGCGGTGAATGGTTAATGGGGCAATGACATCACGGGGCGGTCACATGGTCAACTGATGGTTTGTTCTGCACTTGTTGCAGAGGTTTGCAGTTCGACTCGGACAGGCCGCCCTCGTTATTACTGCAGTGTATTAAAACCATAAGATACCTGCCGCCTGCTTCACAGTGGACGTTAAAGATCCCGTGGTGTCATTCGAAACGAGTAGGCCGTTGTGTGGCGGCGTTATGGTCCAAATTTCTCCAAATAAAAACTACCCGCGTGTTATGGGGTTTACACGTGGTAACATCACCCCCTCCTGTGAAGCCACTGCACGCTGTGAAACAGCGCTTTCGTGATAGCCTTGTACCGCACGAATGGCGCAAATACAAAATGTACTAAAATTATACTGAATAATTAATGTTTGCAAGGTGTGCCATGGTGTCCATTGTGTTGTTATAACCCTGGGCTCTGCGCCGCTCAGGACCGAGCGCGGCAGGCGTTGGCCACTCCGGAGCTCGCGTCGGCGCTCGCCAAGCTCTCCGTGCTGAGTCAGCGACTGGTGGAGCAGGCGGCGCGCGAGAAGACCGAGAAGATCATCCACGCGGAGCTGCAGAAGGCCGCCGCAAACCCCGAGCTACAGGCAGGGCATCCTCTCGCTCGCAATACTTGCCCGGGCTGGAAGGTTCTGGGCAAACTCTCAGAAGCTTTCACATTTTCTTTAAACATCAAAGTCAAAAGACAAACGTGGTTTCCTGCTCAAATAAGCATTGAGGCAATTAGTGCTTATTCTGTTTACAGCCCTGAGCCAGTGGTGAAAGATCCAATTTTTATGTTGGCTTCCTCACAAAGTGGTACTAATTTTATCGACCCGTGGGGTGCCACAGTGGTGAGATGTTAACTACCTCGCCTGGTATGCAGGAGGTCGTGGGTTCGATCATGACCCTGGCCTGGCGCCTGTATATTTGAAGTTTGCAAGTTCTTCCCGTTATAGCGTGGATTTTTCTCCAAGTTTCCCGGTTTTCCCCTCCACATTTAGAATTAACTTGCGTTTAGAGGATTTCACTGCTATAAATTTCCAGGCGATGACAAGCCACTTCGTTGAGCTATCATTTGTGGCCAAATCGCTTCTGAAAAAGAGCTGTGCAGCTCAGTGGTCCTCGCGTGGAAAAATTTAAGTAATTTTTGTTTGGTTTAGGACGGGGTTCGGCAACTTGCGGCTGTTATTTAAATTAAATCTTCAACATAATTTAATATGGCGGGGAATGGGTTACTGGAATGTCTTTGTGACAACAAAATGTACAACAGTCAAACTGTATTGTATTGTTAAGGGGGGGCGAAACTAAATAGACAGTTTATTCCATCACCTATTTTGTTTATTCAAGTCAAAATGTATTTGTCATCTGCTGTATACATGCTGCTGTGTTTGTGCACAAGTAGCCCTGCGTGTGTAATGCGGCTCTCGAACAATTTCGGTCAAAGACGAAAACGAACCGGCTCTACATTAAAAGGTTTGCTGACCCCTGGTTTAGTAGAATGACCGTGTTTTCTTTTTTGTGTGCCGTCTCCTCTTCGCACCGCAGAGCGTCCATCACGTGGCGTTCGGAAAGCTGGCCGCGGCGGCCGGCGTCATGGGGCGCTCGCCGAGAATGATGGCCAGGGACGTGGACGACGACGACGACGAAGACGACGACGATGACGACGACGACGACGATGAGGACACCGATTCGGACGAGGAGAGCGCGAGATACACGGGCCGATACCAGCCGAGTCATGGGAAGGTGAGCTCGCTGTCAGCTGCGAATCTGAGTACAAACGGGGAAACTCCTGTCTCGACCCCGAGGTGAACAAGGTTGGGCCTCCCAACAGATTTGTCTGACCATACGATGGACAGACAATACTAGAAGGTTATTTTGATGCGACTGTCAGAGGCCAAGTGATTTCTTGCATCAAACAAAGACGGTCACCGCATCGCGCTCTTTCAGATGGCGCTTCTGTGGCCATCTGGAATGCTGTTCACTCCAATATTGTGAAGCTACTGGGAGCTCTGCACTTTTAAATCATGTGGATTAAAAACTCCTTAATTTAGAACTGTTCTTTTTAGTTTAGTTTGTTCTCCTTTCCCGCACCTCCAATTAGCACGGTTGGCTACGTACGGTGTGAAAGCTGTTCAACAACATATACAACACATTCCTGCGGAGGGAGCTGGTAGGAACGTTGGGTTGCTCGGTCAATGGCCAGGGTCAACGGCAGCGTGGTGTATTCCGCAAATATGCCCGACTGTGAGGGCGGGCACAAGCCGGCGTAAGTATTTTAAACGTTGAGTTTTATAAGGGCACCACAGGGTGACAAGCCCCTCCCCACCCAGCCCCTCCCTCCCCACCCAGCCCCTCCCTGCACGACGGACGGACACAATAATCCCCTGTGGGCTGGTGTAACCAGGAGATTCCTACCAGTATTAACAGTCCTGAACCAGTGATACAAATTTCACATAATGAGAGCATGTGAAATTTGTATCAATTCTCTGTAGGATAACCAAAGTTGATTTCACTACAAAGTGGAAGTCATTCTATTGACCGGTCAATCCCGAAGGAGGATTTGCAATTTGCAAGCCGCTCGGCTCTATCGGCGAGCCACCTGTGGCTTAAATTATATATATGTGTAAACATAAATAAATATTAGTTTAAATAAATAATACATTCTCAAGAATAGTCGTGTTTATCATTGTAATACAACCTTCATCATCTCGCTGTGAAGTGTGAATATGTGTGTGGACACTGTGCGTTTGTTTGTGAATGCCATGAAAGTGATGCATGCTTTGTCGCGTGCTCACAAGTCCGTGTTTGAATGTGGCAATTCAAATGAAATAGCACGCGCAACTGTTCGTTATTGCCCACAAGTGTGCAGTGACATTTGCAGGACAAATCTTTCCTTCGTCCTCAAATTTATTTAATATTACATCCGAGTAAAGTGGTGTAAATTGCAGCACAAGAATAGTGTGCACCTTGAGTGATTAAACAAAGAATTGGGGATATTTTCCAATAAGCAACAAATTGCATGACCTTAAAATATATATTGACATGCCAATGCTATGGTTTGTGTACAAAATTATTTGGAATCGAACCTTATGGCAGGACCCCAGGGTCCCATAAGCCCCCGCCTCTCGCATAAATTGCGTTACGACGTCATTTTGTCTGTTGAAGGCGAACGATACGGCAATCTATTCCTCTCGACGAGCTGTACACGGTGCGCTAATCAAAGTTTCAAAGTTTTGTTTCGTCTGCGCATTCGTCCTCGCTGCGCTTTGACGACGTGACAACAGAATGATCCGCGCCAGGTGGGTCGCGGCATCTATGTGCGCGGTGAAACTGAGTCTTCAAAAATAAATTTATTAATTGCGTTTTTTTTTATTTACTTCCGTTTATTCGGGACCCCGGGGTCCCGCCATAAGGTTCAATTGCTCAAAGGTCCCTGCCTAAATTATTTTATGAGATGAAGCACCTATTTTGTCTGATATATATACTGCAGCTATAGAACTTTTTTTTTATCTCAACTGCATTGAAATCTTGCTTTGTGGGAGTTTATCCAAGAAGCATTTATAGCTGAGAAGCAGTCTCGTAACAAAGTCTTTGAGAAGGCTTTGAACTTACAACTTCCTGCTGAAAGGACAATAACATTATCCTGCACTTGCGTATGGTTTCCTCCTGTGTGCGTGTGTGCATCCACCAGTCTCCGAGCAACTTCTCCCTGGCCGAGATGAGGTTGCTGTGCGAAGAAGAGGTCCCCATGGAGACGGAGGAGTGTTATCCCCCACAGCATCACCACCACCATCACCACCATCACCACCACCAGTACCACCAGCAGCAGCAGCAGTACCAGCCATACCACCATCACCACCACCACCATCACCACCAGCAACAGCTCCAGCAGCAACAACAGCTGCAGCAGCAACAGTTGCAGCAACAGCAGCTGCAGCAACAACAGCTGCAGCAACAGCGCATGGTGACTGCGTCGTTTTGTTCGGAGCATGCCTACTCGTCAGCCTCCAAGTCTATACACCAGGGTAAGCAGCCGCATATGGGACCATGGGTTAGGCAGGAGGCGCATTACACGCAGAGCTGCTTGTACATGGACACAAATACAGCAGATCAACAGCAGATGACAACACACATTCTGACTTCAATAAACAAAATTGGTGATGGAATAAACTGCGTCTATTTATATTTTTCCCCCTTAGTTATACTTTAACAGCACAGTTTGATTGTATATTTTGTTGTCGCCAAGACATTCCATAGTGACCCATTCCGTGCCATATTTAATAAATGATCTTGACGTTAAATTACGTTGAAGATTATTTTTTTTTTTAAAGGCTGCCCACCTTGGCAGCCAAAGAGCCACAAGGGGGAAGCCAAAGAGCCAAAGCTGATGGTTTCCTACCCCCTGGTCGAGCTTCAGTGGCAGTGATGTGGCCGAGCAGCAATGGTTTCAACCCCGTAGCCACTCTGGTTATTATGTTGCCGGGCGTATTACCAACACACTTGCGCCATCTGCTTCAAGCAAGCAATTCCAGTGCTGCACCGTCACGTTTTGCCTTTGCGAATAATTTTCTGCATTGATCATCACCTTGCAGCGCAGTGAATAATGAATCATTTGCGCCGTGCGCGTGTGTGTGTGACCTGCGCGGTAGTGGACCGGTTAGCGCGCTGCACTACGAACCCAGCGACCCGTGTTCGATTCCCGCTCACGGCCAACACCAGTGACGATTGTCTGTACCGGTCTTGGGCCTCCCCCAGGTCGACTCGGCCTCAAATGAGTACCTGGTGCTGTGTGTAAACATCGCCACTGGGGAGACAAAGGCGGCCGGGCGTGGTGCTCGCCACCCACCAACCTCGTCTGCCATGCCGCCCTTCATCAGTGCTTGCTAACAGCATTTGCTCCTGCAGTCTGTTAAGGCTACACGGGGGCATCTTTGTTTATCTTTGTTTGTGGCCTGCGCCACCGTTTCGCAGGCATGAGCATGCCCCGGAAGCAGCCCCGCAAGTCGCCGCTGGTGCCGCGCTCGCTGGATTCGCCCGTGCTGCGCCTGTCGGAGGGGGCTCAGGCGCGGCTGGAGGAGCTGATCCTGGAGGGTGACCTGCTGGAGGTGAGCATGGACGAGAGCCTGCACCTCTGGAGGATTCTGCAGGCCACGCAGAACCCGCCGGGGGACGGCACCGCCCTCGGCCTCTTCCAGGTACGGTCCGATTCACTCGTGTTTATTTGCGCTCCTTTACCCAGAAGCCCTCGCTGAATCTAAACTTCTGGTTTCAGGAGGGTGCGTTGTGTAATCCCAGTTGAGTAATATTCAGGTTTTTTTTTAATCATTCGGGATTTTTGACCAATACAAATTGTACGTATGTGTGAAGTTCTTTCACACCGTACGTAGCCACCCGCGCTTATCAGATGGGCAGGGTTACGTTGTTACTGGTTTTAGCTAAACTCTGCTGCATAATGTCCCAGTTTGCATCTTGTATGTGAGAGTCTCTAGCTCTTTGGGTTATTGTAAGGTCTTAAACGTTTGCTTTTACCGAATGTGCTTTTAAGGTAATTGTGACATCGAATGAACCGTCCACTGGCTTTAAAGATTGGTTTAGTTTTCTAACTGTTGCCACTTGGCTATTAAGGTGTACCTCAATGAAGCCGTTCATGATTACTGCATACCATTACACTCATCTTGACATGTGACATCTCTATTGTGCCTTCCACTCAACTGGTTTTATGTTCAAGTGAAACATTTTCTAACTCAATTGTGCTGTGAAAGGGCCATTTGCCAAAACGTCGCCTATTATATATTATTGACCGTGTTATTGACGATTGTGACTTTTGTATTCAGATGTACTTAAAAAATTGCAAAGCGTGCAATCATCCTACTTTGAAACGGAAGTATCACCGATAACACTACAGTACTCGTGAAATTTGACCACTGATGAAGTTTCATCTGACGATTATAAACTACAGCAGCATCATTGTTGAGATTTCACAACACATCCTGTATTTTCTTCAACTCAATTTTAGAGAGGTTTTTTTTGGTGGGGGGGGGGTGGGGCTTCAATTATTAAAAAAAAAAATTACCAGGTAAGGCCCACTAAGCTTTAGCTCTTTTTCAGAAGCGACCTGGCCACAAATGATAGCTCAACGAATTGACTTGTCACGTGGAAATTTATCGCAGCCAAATGTTCGAAACGCGTGTTGATTTTAAATGTGGAGGGAAAAACCGGAGGACCCGGAGAAAAATCCACGCGACCACAGGGAGAGACACGCAAACTCAAAATATACAGCAGGTGTCAGGGGTCTGGATCGAACCCACGACCTCCTGCATACCAAGCAGAGGTCGCAAACGGGTTTTGATTCCTTACCCGTACCCGTACCCGGCCGCACCAGGGTCGCAAACGGGTACCCGTACCCGGCCGGGTATCGGGTAGGGTACGGGTATCGGGTACCCGGTTGCGACCTCTGATACCAAGCAACAAGGTAGTTAACATCCCGCCACCGTTTGCGCCCCAAGTTAATGCATCGCTGATTTTACAGACGGTGGGCCGGGAGGGCAAGCCAGTGAAAGCGCGGGCGAGGGACAAGGATCAGCTGGACAAGAAACGCAAGCGCAAGCTGGAGAAGGGCGAGTTGACGTTCGGCGGCGACGCCGCACCGCGCGACATCCTCAAAGCCGACAAGCCCAAGAAGAAGAAGCTCAAGGCGGTGGGCGACGGCAAGCGGGACGAGCCCAAAGCGGAGAGGCGCGGCGTCGAGCGGGCCGACAAGAAAGACAAGAAGCGCGCCAAGCAGCGCAAGATGAAGGAGGGTGCCGGCGCTGCCAAGGAGAGGAAGGCCAAGGCCGGCGGCCGCAAAGCGACGAGTCGAGACGACGACTCGGATGACGAGTACGCCGTGTGCGCGGCGGAAGACTGCCAGCGGCCCTGCGGAGATGAGGTGACTGTTACGATTTTGCCAATTGCATTGTATGTGTACATGTACCTGTGTTGAACTTGTTTCGCACCGTGCGTAGCTAACTGTGCTCATCGGAGGTGCGGGGAAAGAACAACATGAATGTCGATTTGTATCACCGTCATCACGATCTTCTGCCCATGGATCATGAGTTGTTATTAAAGCGGGTGTGGTGAGTTGATGGGTCTCAGCCTGGTCATCGGTGACTGCACAAACACACAAGGTCATATCGGTCATCATCATCACGATCCATGGGCAGATACCCCGTAGGTTGTCCCCTGCACATTTAGTCATTTGTTTCCACTTTCCTCTGTCTTGTGCCAATATGCTCGAGTAGTTAGTGCCGCATCTTTCTGGCACCAATCTCTCATGTCATCTGGCCATTCTCTGTTAGGTCTTCCTCTCTTTCCAGAGAGCATATATAGCGCGTCAGATTTACAGCTCCGTCTCAAGACGCCGTACCGACAGGGTGAGTTTATGCGCACCGTGTAGACCAGCGGTAACTATCGATTACATTTCTAATGATCACTGTTACGTTGTTTTTATAGCATTATTTTAGTGATTTCTAAAAAGGTTTAGTTTAGCCATATTTTAATGTTGCAGTTTAGCGTTATACCTAGAATTTAAATCTAGATTGTATTGTGATTGTTATTGTGATCTAACATCAAACTGGGATTTTTGCACATTTTTTGTACGCATCATAAACATTTGGTGCTTTTTCTGGAAGATTTAATTGTTTTTATAGAGGATGTTTAAATTTGCGTGCAATAAATTTTAAATGTATCTTGTAATTGTATTGTTTGTTGCGGTTGCACCCGAATCAAGAAGTCGAATGGCTCACAGGGTCAAACCAAATAAATGGAACTGAACTGAACTGAACACCAGGCACTGCGATCCATTTTGGTGAATCTATTAACAGCTCTGGGATTCCACCAGAATGCTTTGACAACCAATTGCCCGGATTTAATCCCGTGGTATACCATGGCCATGAAATACTAGTGCCATCTATTGGTACAAGCTTTTTATTTTTTAATTCTTAGTTGGGAATTTTTATTTGGCATCGGTTGTAATGAGAATTGTATGCTTTTATATAAGTGTTCTAATTTGTCCCTGGGATCCACAAATAATATTTTTCTAGCTGCCCGTGGATTGATATCCACATTGAGCAACGCCGAAGTCAACAGTGAAGTTTCTATGCTGTTGGTATCGCGGTCTAGGTGAACACGCCTCCCACATTAGCATGTTTCTAATCCAGTGAGTGTTGCTGCAATTGCAATTCCAGTTAAAGATACTGGTTACTGTTGAGTCTGCTCTGTTAACCAAGCTGTAATGCTCTGTGAGGGCTATTGATCCTGAAAGACAATTTATCAATGTTGTATTCTTATTGTGGTTTCTGAAGGTTGTGCGTTTAGGATTTTATTAATACAAATCGTAAGAAGTTATTAGAATCGATTTAGCTCTGAATTAGGGACGATTTTTCGCATTTAAAGAGTCAGTATTTTTGGATAATTTACATTATGTAATCATTCTGCATGTCTTTATGCTAACAAAAGTGATGTCAACCTGTACCACGTGACCCCACTTTTGGTTGGAAAAGCACAAAGTGGCGTAATATATGAACCTGTGACGTCAATCTTTCTGATCAATCCGCATAAAAAACGTTATTCATATCCTTACAAATTTTGTTCCTTGGCCAGATTTTTTATATTTTTGAATCAAACCAAACGTCGGGAGCACATCTCTCCTCCAAAATAACAACTCTAGCGATCTACTTTGAATAAAAGACAAAATTATTCAGGGATTTGCTATGGATTTGCTATATTTGCTATGGTTGCAGTCGGTGTAACTCATCTGTGTCCTTCTGCTTCCCCGGCGGCCCAGGTGAACTGGGTGCAGTGCGACGGGGGCTGCGACGGCTGGTTCCACCAGGTGTGCGTTGGCGTATCGACCGAGATGGCCGAGAAAGAGGACTACATCTGCTTGCGCTGCACACGCAGGAGACCCATTCACGCAGCGCAGAGCACGGGCTAGCCCTGACCCCACCTCCCCCCCCAGCAGCACCAGTGTTTGGGCACCCCCCACCGACACACACAGCTCGCTCCCGATCGCTCTTTTCGCTCACTCGCATGGCCAGCACGTGTTCCCCCAACTCTGACGCCTTCAAGCTCCCAGGACGAACAAAAACGGGGGGCCCGTGTTGACGTTGCGGAAAAAGCAAGCGGCTCTTGGTCTTCCGGAAGGACGTGTGTGTACATTGGGGGTGCACCTTGGAATGTAGGAGGAGGAAGCTGGCCCTTGTCTCTGTGAAGTACACTTTTAAGCAAGGCACAATGGCATTTTGAGTATAGGCCAAATTGAAATGACTGAAAGGATGGCCTTCAAGGTGAAGGGGGATTGATGGCAGTTTGCTTGTTCCTTGAGTGTTCTTTATAGGTTAATGTGTAGGAGGTGGCAACGCTGAGTTGGGTAGGTTAGATTTGTCTGTACATTGAAGTGTAAAAAGAAGACACAGAAATCTTGCAACAGAGCTCAATGGACCGGATGGGCATGATCATCATTTTTTCAAGATTTAACCTTCAAGTCCAGCACAAGGGGGGTTGGTGGGACCCTCCCTCACCCCACACCCATCCCCCCCCTCCCCCCTGTTGGCCCTGTGGACCTCGGTTATTAATTTTCACAATGCTGAAGTATTTTTTTAAAATTGTTAATAACAGTGTTCACGTGGAAATGCAGCAAAGCCACGGGGATGTTCTCAGTCGCCGGACTTTGGGATGAGACTGACCACACTTTTGTCAAAGAGCATTTGATTTGTTAATAAATACAAAAAAATGTCGGTCAACAAAACACCTTGTTGAGCAAGGGAAAAGGGGATTTTTTTTTCCCTCATTTCCTGAAAAGTCTGTTTAAAATAAGTGTTAACTTTTTTAAAAGCTTGTATATTTAGCTACAGAATCTTCCTGCACATGTTACGTTGTCAGATTTAACTTTCCTTATTTTTGTGTTTCCCTCAACCCCCCCCCCCCCCCGTTTCTTTTCTCTCGCTCCGTGTGTGTTCTATTTTGTTTCATGTTTTTTGGCAGTTAAATTTATCCGATGTCAAATTTAATTTATACAAATGTTAGCATATTCTCTTCGACGACTTTGGGTTTTGCGACCTCCCCGTTTTTTTCAGCGGCGTGTATATAGTCGTTTTTGAGGCGCGTGCCCCATCCTAACCCCCCCCACCCCTCCAGACCGTCTCCATTGTGGAATCACTTTATTTCCGTGCAAGCTTTGTCTTTAGAGTAAAAAAAATGTGTGCAGAACGGACTCGCTGTTAGTTTTATGCTCGAGTAAAGCGGTAGGAAATAAACGTGTTAGACGGTTAACGCTGAAAATTGTCCCTTTGACTCGCGCGTTGTCTGTCGTTACCAGTATGAGGACGGAGTTAACTTTGCGCTTGAGTTGTGTTAATTTTGTTGCTCGTAAACATTTATCAAAACATCCGATTTACCACGCAGGGCTGTGTGATATCTGTAACTTTCCCCAAGCCCCACCCAGTTAGCATCATGTTTGTTCATACATTCATTTGGATGTAACGTTTTGTGACGCTGGCTGAAAAAGTTTAAAGAGCCACTTTTCAACAAAATTGCCTTTCGTGTTTTAATGTTCCCAAAGGGTGGTACCCAGTCGGCAAAGCCGACTCGGTTTGATTTCAAGTTTCTCACTTTCCCGGTCTGATACGGCTGCCTTATTGATGCGATGAGGGCCTCCATGTTTCTAAGAACCCAGGCCTCTTAAAATTCACCATCAAAAAATTACAGTGTGTTCTTGTGGTCTGCATGGCCCATACCAGGTGTGCGGGGGGGGGGTGTTGGTCATGCAGCCTTTCAATGCCATCGTTTACAGAGCCACACCCAGACTTCCACATGTGGCAGTTTCCGAAGTAACATTTTTCACTCGAGCTGCTAAACACATGGTATTTAGTGTTTACGCTTAACACCATATATGCGTGAGAACGTGCGCATAGGTGCACGTGCTACTGTACTTCAGGCCGAAACACTTGAGAGTGGTGGATTTAATACCTGGATGACTACTTGGAGTGGAAATTGGAACTTGTCACTGGCTGCCCTAGTTTGACTCAAATCAAAAAGTCAAAGTGATTTCCTGCTTAAATAAGCATCGAGCCGGTGTAGGAAATTCCCAATTCCTTCAGCAAGCTAGTCTTCATAGAACGGCCTCTGTTGATTCCAGCACAGTGGTGGACATTGTATCGACCCCAGAGGGATCATGGGATGAGTCAACCCAAAACCAGGACTTGAAACTCGAAATTTTCCGTTTGCGAGCCACTCATTTCTCAGCTGAGCCATCTTACTCGGCTGTCGTGAAATTGGTTTCTGGCATCGTGGCAACATCAAATCTATGGAGACAAAGGCGGTAGGGGAGCTGGTTTGCTGGCCATACGACCCAATTGCCGTATTATTCTGGCCTCAATTTGCGTGCACAATGCAGCACTAGCACCAGTTCGTTGCAGACTTTGTGAAGTCTACATGTACAGGATTGATGTTTTTACAGTACTGTACTTAGGAACTACACGCATATTTAGGAAGTGACGTCCGGTGTGCCTTAAGCTGGCCAAGCCGACGGATGCTAAATTTATATTCACACTTTTTTTTGTTGTGGTCTCTTTCCGTGCCATACCTAAGCCAGTAAGGCAACTTCATAACAAGTGCTGTGCAGCGCTTGCCTCGGTAAGAGATTATAGCAAGTCACTGCAAAATTCACAAATACGTTTTATTTATGCGCGAAATGTCTCACACACACACACACTGTGGAACCGTTTGATTCAAGAAGGTTGAGCATTTTCATTAACTTGCTTTACACCACGATAACAAATCTGCCACACCGGTTTCCTCTATTTTTGTTAGTCTCAAGCAAAGTGGGTGAGCGCGCGCGCGTCTGTGTGTGTGTGGCGTGTGCGTAAAACTCCAGCCAGCAACGTGGACCTCAAAAAAAAAATTGCGTAAATTCCTGTAGCGCACGGTGAGACCGCCGCTCGCCACGCACAGCCGAGGGCCACCGACTTCGCGGGCGGGGCCGGGACCTGTGGTGGAGGGGGGGGGACGTGAGCCCGAGAGCCCTCTCGATCGTCACCAGTTTCTCGCTCGCCACAGCCTCGGAACACAAACGTCGGTGCGCGCACACCGCCGCCTCCCGCCGCCCTCCACCCCAGCCGTTTGCCGCTCGGCCAGAGACACCCACCGCCTGCCTCCACCCTGGCGATGGTGGCTAAAGATGCCACCGGCTGCTCTTCAGGAGCCAAGCGCTCTTTGGATGCGCCGGACACGCAGCCGGTGCAACTGCGTAAGGAGCCGGAGGTAAGGCGCTCTGCGGACACTGCGGAGACGGTTTTTGATCTATCTACCGTCGCTGGCTTCCTCCGTGTTTTTTTTCTTCCGTTCTCGACCGTTTTGGGTTTTTTTCAAAAATGTCACCCCGCCTGAGGTGTGGTTCTTTTTTGGCGCACGCCTGTTCGGATAACTTTAAAGGTAAATTTGAACATTACACTGAATAATTGTGATCCACGAATAGTTTGATGGGTTCAGAGGGACTTTTCGCGCGACGACATCGATTGTATTCTTGGCTTTAGCAGCTTTGGCGAAATCGCGCTTTTTTGTTATTGTTGCTGTATGGAATCTGCCGTAGATGTTTAGCTGCATGATGTGCAGTGATGGTCTGATCGAGATGTTGACTTGGCCCTTATAAGGGCCGTTAACAGAGTTGTTGATGTTGCTCTTCAGACTCGGAGGGCGATTGGCGTTCAATCGCCTATTTAATGGCAGTCGCAGTGTTTTTACGCGTTATGGAAACACCGTGAGAAGTTGTCGCGTTCCTCCTCCCCAGACGTTAGATCATGAGTATCATTGTAAACAAAATCTAAACTGCTGACAGTTTACATGTTAAGCTGGTGTTTTGATGCCTGCCATTTCATTAAGGTTTACATGGGTTGTAGTTACAGTACGCATCTAGTAATTTCAAACGTCCCACACACAATACAGAAATCCGAGACAGGGTTAATTGGGTTTTTGGATTAATATTTAGGCCAATAGTGAAAAGCTTATTTAAATGTTATTGAAGTAAAAAACAAACGATATTCTCAGCCTAGTTGACCTCATGTTGAATAAAGCTACCTTGTAACAGCATCGTTTCTAGGCTGTGTAGTGCGTGATGTATAGAAGTTCGGGTGGGGGGTTGGGCGGTGGTTTGAGAAATTGTGTTTTGAAAAAACATCTGGCTGGGTGACGCAAATTAAGACGCAATGCAAGTGTAGCGTTCAATTAACGCCGGTGCCAGGTTTCACGACGCAGGGTCCGTGACCGTGAACGCAGTTGTCATTCCGAGGCCGCGTTCATTCCCGAATTCCCCATCCCGTCGTTAATGCCTCCTCCCCCCTTCTTTGATGGGTCAATGAGGTAAAGCGCCACTTGCCCCGAGGCTTGTGTCACCTTTTATGGGAAGTGAGTTGCGATTATTCACAAAAATAATTATACACACACACACGCCCAAAAAATGCATCGTCTCCGAACCTTCACCATAGGAATGTGGAATTAACCCCCAGTGGCTCCGTGCAACTTAATCGCTCCGCTCAAATGTAGGAAGAGCGCTGGCCATTACTGACTCGACGTCTGCACGAACTCGCACACTTCCTGAACGAGCGCACACTGCGTGGATTGTACGACGGCGAGAGCACGTAACGGGGGAGGTTTTCTTTCGGCGTTTACATAAATTGCATAATTCGCGTGACGAACTCCACGCTTGGAGCCGCGCACACACACACAAAACCAAGGCGACAACACCTAAAGCCCCCTCTCGTAGCCTCTTGGCACCGGGACCCCTGGCGTCAGGTGCTTTTAGTTTATAGGAGCTGAGTTTACCGGACACGCGTGAAAGCCCGTGCTTAATAATACAAGGGTGCTCTGTTTCATAGCAAACCCCTGAACAGAACACTTTGTTACCGAATGTTCATAACCAAGGAGGGAGATTGCTAATGATTAAAAGGTTTACTCTTCCAAGTGTTACTGGATAACTTAACTCCTGAAACCATCTGCGTGGTTGACTTGTCGTTAGCAGTGTCGGTAGTGAGACATTGACGCAGCATTGTAATCGCAGGGGAATTCTAATCATTCAAAATATGCACTTCGCGATTTTAATTTGGTGACTTTCAACCACGTGTTGTGTACCCAACATGCCTACAGAGAGATTTCGCTTGTGAATATTACCTGCGGTGACATGCATCAGACACGTAGACAGTGACAAAGATAATTTAAGAAAGAAAAATTCGCTTGTGTTGCGATCGAAACGTCGTGATCTATTAATTTTCTATCTACGTGACTTTACCGAAATAACCAAAGAGTATAGATTCCTGCAGTCACGAAAGCTTCAAATCAAGACGTCATTTAATAAAAAAAATTAAAGTATAGACCACGGCTGTTGATGCTGATAAGTGTAGACTAATTGCGCGGTGTTCATTTCACTTATGGCAGGCAGGTAGAGATCGCGCTGACGAAGTGACTACATCTAATGTGGCTAAATCTCCGAGGGCTGGAGTTGGAACTTTCTGTCCCACGACTGTAGTGACAGCATTGCTGTGATACGCATAGCTACACGCCAGGCCACAGGAACGCTGCTCACTCTGCCTCTGAATGCCATTTCTGCCATGATCCAAAAGTTTTCCAGCTCGCCTGCCACCACCCTCCGAGCACAGTTCAACCACAGTGTGCGGTTTGAAATGTGAACTCTGCAGCGCGTGGGGAGCGTAATCCCAGAACAAGTGCGACACCGCTGAATTATTTCGGTTCGGTGGAGATTGCCCCACGATATGGCACGGATAAAAAAAAAACATCAGGCTCGCCTTTGTTGACGCTTTTATGGCCATATATGGGCAAGCGTTTGGTCAAGTGAAAGTAGTCACTTCCTCGACGCTTCTACCCAGGACTTTAATTGAAGTCGCCCCTGATTATGGCTGGGAGGAAGGGGGGGGGCGTAAAAACCGTGACGATACCGCGCGTCGTCTGCTTCACAGTGCGTGTTAAAGATCCCCCTGACGTTGTTCACAAGAGGAAGCTCAGAGGGCGCCACGGTGGCGAGACGTTAACTTCCTCGCCTGGTATGGAGGAGGCTGTGGATTCGATTCCGACCCTGACGCCTGATTATTTGGAGTTTTCGTGTCTATCTCCCCGTGGTCACGTGGAATTTTCTCCCAATCCTCCGGGTTACTCCTCCACATTTAGAATCAACGTGCGTTTTAGAGTATTTAGCTGCAATACATTTCCACGTGATAAGCCCCTTGAGTTATCATTTGTAACTAAGTTGCTTCTGAAAAAGAGCGATATTGCTCAGTTGGCCTTACTTGGTAAAATAAAATTACTTTAGTTTTAATGTGCCGGTGTCAACGCCAGTACCGTCAAGAGCGTGGGGGCAGGGGGTGCCTCGCCCCTCCCCCCCTCTCCGCGGTGGTCAAAGCTCCGAGTTGGGTCCCTCTTGACAAACACCATAAGACATGTCTTCAACAAGTGTAAAATAACAAAAACGTGTTTAAAACCCCACTTAAATGTATTTTTTTTATGAAAATGCTTCCATTTACGTTACACGTTTTATTTTTATTTAACGAGAGTAGCAACGTTGGGCGACCGTGCGAGACAAATCAAATATTGGAGCCCCGCCTGATCGATTGCTGCACCCCCCCTGAGCTGATAATGTCGTCACCACGCGACTGGTCAGAGCCCATATTTTCCAAATTCTAAAACGTTACACACATTACTCAGTTGGGATTCATAACAACCCTCCACCACCCGACACAGCCAGTAAGGTTTGTCACGTAAACAATGGTGTGTTGGAGAGTCAATACACAACATTTACAATTTGAGTAGAATGTTTCGCTGTTAATTACATCCAGCATCGTTGCAATAATCGCCCCCTACTGGCAGACTAAAGCCCCATGTTACCCTTGCTGATACTCTCCTGGTCTCGAGTTCTCCTGGGTAAACAAATTCGACTTGAACTTGTCTTGAAATGGCAAATGTCCCCATGGTGTCCAATTGCTCCCGAGTAAAGCCGTAGATACACTGTGCATGTAATTCACATCCGATTAGCACACATACGGTGCGAAAGAAGTCCAACATACATGTAATGTAAATTGTGAAAACATGCGGCCGGGCGTAGTGCTGGCCATCAACCCCCTCGAGTGCCGTACCAGTCTTCATAGCTGCTCGCCAAGAGCAATTACCCCAACAGTCTGTTAAGGGGCCATCCTCAATGACGTCACGCACCTGGGAGGGGGGGGTCAGACATTTGTGACGATGTGTGACGAGGGGGGGGGGGGTTGAGAAATGTGAAGTCACATCAAAATGCGCAACTTTAAATACATATAGACATCACGTTCTACTTAAATATACTTTTTAATAAATGTTTTCTCCTGCAACATCAGAGTGCAGCGCCACATTAAATACGCACTACAATGACAATAGCTTAAAGCGATTTGAAACATGTTTTTTTTTGGGGGGGGGCAGAGCTTTGTGACGTCATATTTTAGGGGGGTCTGACTTTTTGTGACGCAGTGTGACGATGGGGGGGGGGGTCAAAAATCGTCCAAAATCGCGTGGCGTCATTTATGGACGGCCCCTAAGGTTTTATGGGGGTCTTTGGGGTCGTCCATAAATGACGTCACGCGATTTTGGACGATTTTTGACCCCCCCCCTCGTCACAAATCGTCACAAATGTCTGACCCCCCCTAGGTGCGTGACGTCATTTATGGACGGCCCCTTTGTTTGTAGCCCGGTGGATTGAGCCATGAGCCCAAACATGGCTTATTGGAACCAGCTGGGGTGGTGAATACTTCCCATGATTTTCTTCAAGCATTTTATCTGCACATTACCTAAAGACGTACGATAGCAAGGTTAACGCGGTAGTTTTTGTTAACGACATACATTTCGTTAGGGAAAGGTACCATATTTTTTCTTAATCGAAAATAAAATTTCGTATTTGTGTATGTCGAACTTCTCACCGTACATATCCCGCCGTGCTAATTTTGAGAAGAGAAAAAAGTTACGTGAAACCATCCTTGGCAAATATAGCAAAAAAAAATTAGCCGTGTCTACAAAACAGCGTAATTCTACTAAGGATTTCTGGCCATCGTGGATACCGCTCACGAATGGATAATGGTTGCAACGTCACACCAGGTGGGTACCGTTCAACTCCCTTGGCTCGTGGACTTAACAGCAGCAGCAGCAGGGGCCCCATTTGTGAGACCATGATTTTAAACCCCTTTTCAGGGTCAACTCAGTTCCATCAACATTATCATCATTGCCCAATGAGGTTG